CCCCCCCCCCCCCCCCCCCGCCTTGTTGATGAATCATAAATAGTCCAGTAAATAGGTCCCCTAGGTGCTTAAACAGAAGATTTACGATATATACACGAGGCGATTTATAAGGCCGTCGATTTGACCACAGTTAATCCTAGTCTATTAACTGTGATTTGACTGCAGTCCACAAACTAATTTTGGTACGTACCTACACGTGGGCGACCTCGTGGGCGATCGACATGCCTACCTACGTATGTATGGTATAAGGGAAATTCCACTCCTTCAATCCAGGAGGTCCGTCAAGGGCGTGAGAAAAATGGGTGGGGGGGAGATTCTAGGAAACAAATGATAACTAGGGGGCGAGATTCTCAAACAACATCTGAAGAACTCTATGGATAGTTACAGTAAGCCCATTTTCTACCAGGCGAACTTGTTCGCGCAAACAGTAGAAAAGTAGGAACTGATCCAACTTTTTCGCGGCGAATTTTTTTCTCCGACCAATCACATTGCCACGATTTGTTTTTCGCTTCGCGCGAACAAATTCGCCCAGCAGTGGAAAATGGGCTTAATGCATACCAGCAGCATCTCCAGATCCTATAGGCTAGGCATACTGTATATATAAATTGTTTATGATAAATTCCCCATTTTTTTTGGTTGGTTGTAAAATAACGGTGAGTTTCAATTTGCTTTTTCCGTATTTAATCGACCTTTTATTTGGAAGGGAACAGTTTATATTTATAGAACAATAAATATATACCAGAGTATATTCTGGCATGCAAATGTTAATTATGCAAATTAACTTTCAATAAATTAGGATATCCGGTGTCTCTTGGTGTTGGGGTGTGAATCGGAGGATCGACAAGGCGGAATATTTGAAGCAAGGCATGCTGGGGAGGATATCTAAAAATCCGCAGTTTTCCGCAGTGCGTTAACGGAAGCGAGTGAGATCGATTGTTATGAGTGCAGTGTATTGTCGAAATTATACATGGACTTATAGCCTTACACGGAGTATGCATGGTTTTGGGATGTAAACAATTCGTTGTAATGTTCGCTCTTGATGTTGAGTCAAACGAATTGTGTCAAAGATGACCGATGCTCGTGTACCTCGAAGAGCACAGGTTGTCTTACTAGACGATCGTAAACTTGATTTCTTAGTTCAGGTACGACATTGTGGCAATTGTCAGAAACTGTGTACTAAACGCCTTCAGTGTAAATGTCAAAGTAATGCTGTTTGTTTTATACTTTTCAGCCACGACTGCTCTCACGGGAACTTTTAGACATGGTAGCATCACATTTTAACTTGCACGAGAAGGAATATTTTGGATTGTATCATACAGATGATATGTAAGTCTTGTTTGCCTTTGACACTCGCTTTTATATCACTCAATCTTGACATCGGAAGATTTGAAGCTTGTAAATAGTCGCATAGATACTTGGCAAGTCATGTAAAAGTGTGTGAATGAACGTGGAATAATTTGTTTCATGTGTAAAAGCGAATGAAGTGAAACTCAAATAGAATAATTTAACAGCTGTGAGTATAAAGCATACTCATAGACTGTGCTGGGCCAGGATATCATGACAAGCTTATGACTATAAAAGTATATTATAAATTATGGTCGACAAAAATATCTTACTGCATTACAGTTGGATATAGTAACAATGTTTAAATTTGGTATCCGTGGTAATCCTATAGAAATTCGACCTTATTCAACTAGTAATGTGCCTTTATCGTAATTCCTAAATACCAAAATAGACTTGAATATCTTTGTTGTTGCGAGCAAGAATAGTTGATTTTCCTTCTTGACGGAAGTGTATAATTGTGACATTTTTAACTCCAATTGTCTCTCCTCTATAAATAAATACTTCCTTGCTTTTATACGTTCTAATTTTTATTGTAAATACATAGGATTAGCTTGTATTCTAGAACTTCGGCACTTTCAAATCTATTTTAGCTTTGCTCATGTTTACTAATAAGTATCCCATTTAAAATTTATGTATACATGACTGCGGTAAAGATCTCTGGTTTAAGTTGGCAGAATGTGGCTTGGGTTGTAATGTCTGATCTGATAATCATTTGATTGCATGCTTGGAATTCTCTAGTAAAATCATGACATTTCCTGGACATTCAAATATGTGATATAAACAGCTAGAAAGAGTAAATTAAGATACCAAAGCACTGTCGATCAGTATCAGAGGCAGTAGAATTTGCTTGCTTGACTGCATAATAGAGTGTTCAATTTAACCAATCTATCACTTTTTTCTCATACTTATTTGGCTAAAAGAGTTTTTGTTTGCAGTGTAAATCACCAAATGGATGATTTGCTATGTTTTTAATTAATTTTCATCATTGCTGTGAAATTCTTCAGTATCTCAATGCAGCAATCAGCAACTGCTAACAGCAATATCTTTCAAATGATAAAACAGTTCTGAAACTAAATTTAAACAAGGAACCAATATAACTGTGTCAAGTCCAATTGGATAGTAGTTTTAGTAAGAAATTCCTATTGGTCAATTCAAGTAGGAATTTTCTAAGCACTTCTAAGGAACTTTTATTATCAAGTTTTAAAATTAAAGTATTGAATTAATGAATTGTCTAAAGTTAGCAATTGAATTGAGCAACATTTTTTTATAACGTTAATAAACGCGAGAATAAACGTTCATAACAAAAAGTTAATAAACTTGGCTTGATGACCTTAACTCATGTAAAGTTAGGATAGTACATGGACGATTGGACGTAGATGCACATTTAACAAAAACAGTTCAAAGAGATATTTTTAAAAATGTCAATAAAAACTCAGTGTTTTCTAATTTGTCCAAATGATGAGCTATTCAAACATCATGGGATCATTGACAAATTATCTTTCCAACAAATTGTTTTGCAAAATCTGATACTGCTACAGTACTGGGTTAATGAAATATATTTTCCATCAGCAAAAGATACAGTGTGTCCAACATAACAGCAGTTTCTTTATATGTACCAGAGAGCTGGTACTGTTGTGTTGCATACATCTTATTTATGACCCTAGTTCCCAGAAATTATTTGGGATCTACATTTTTGCAGAAATTTTTACAGACATGTTTGATAGCTTAAATTCTGAAAATTAGACTGATTAATTATCAGACCTGTCAACTTTGCAGACAAGTTAAGACTGAGTGAGATTGGGGATGTGGATGACACCTTTGTAAAAGTCCGGGGCCGGGGGTCTGAAATGGCATTTCGTACATTATGAGAGTTGGTGTTTTTTAATGAAATACGTCTGCTCGTGGCTTCATAACATCCTTTATTGAGACAAGGCACTTTAGTTACAATAACTCTATTTCTGTGACATACAGTACTTAATGAGTTTTAATTTGCCTTTGATAATTTACATATAGAATTCTGCTCCGACTGATTCTGCCTTTTGTCTGCCGTATTTACATATGCGTACTATTTTGTATCCAAATTGCGGGCAAAAGCCAAAATGTCGGGCCATATATGCAGGAACAATAACACGAGATTATATATTCGATTCGCAATCCGTATAATGATTAATAATGTGCATTTATTAAGAATACAATATTATATTTAATTATTGAAAAAATACTATGAAACTGCTATATGCGTGAGATTAACTAATCGTGGCGTGAGAGCGTGAGAGTGAAGCGAATTGCGTGAGACTCACGCCGAATGTGTGAGAGTTGAGAGGTCTGAAATATCTAAATTACTGAATACTGTAGCTTATTATTGAAATGATTGAATACCTTTGGAATTTGTCTACTAACTTGATACCTAAATTATGTTGCAACAGTTTGAAACAAATAACCTGCAGTAAGAAATTTGTTTTTAATCCTGTAAGACTGTAACTGCTATGATTGTCAGACATACAGTACTGCTTCACATGACATTCACAAACAACAATTTTGTTATATATATATATATATATATATATATATAATTTTCGCTATATACTGAGCATTGCGCAGCAAACTCAGATGCGACAAAAGAGAAACAAACTCTTTCAAATATCAAAATATATATATATATATATATATATATATATATATATATATTGTATATATATATATTGTATATATATTGCAATCATTTGTAGAAAATTTTGAGCCCTAAACCCAACTTCCCGGAAATAAAAATATTTTCCACCTCTGTATGACATTATTTAATAATATAGTATAATAATTATAGATTGTAAGTCTTATTTTTGTAACTTCAAATTGAAATAATTCAGAAAATTGTCATTTTCTAGATGTCAGTTAAGCATTTTACTATTTGTTTAGACTAAATTTTATAATCCAATTTTTAAACAAAATGTATTAATCAATATTCTGAATGCAAACAACATTGAAACAGGTCTTTCGTTTGTCAGTGCCAGCTTTTCATGCAGTAAGACAAAGCCATATTACTAAACGTTGCAAGTTTTAACATATTCTATCTGGCGCTGTGGCCTGTGGGGAACAATAAAAAATGTGTTGTCTTGAGTGGCTTCTAAACTAGATCTTTACATTCACCCCTTTATTATTTTACTCTGTCTAATGCCAGACGATTTTACTTGTCAGGGGGAGAGTGCTGCCAATCAATGGGTTAATAAGACTATCTGCCCATGTATCCTGTTAACCTTTTAAGTGGCAATGTGCCCAGAAGTGCCCATCTTTATTATTTTACTCTGTCTAACACCAGACAATTTGCAGGGGGAGAGTGCTACCAGTCTTGAGTATTTTTTCTGTGTTGGTGTTGTGTACTCAGGTGAATAATATGTTTGCGATGTTACTCTGAGTGCATATCCACACCGGGTGAGCTTGAAAAATATGCCCAGCCACGGTGGGATTCGAACCTACGACCTTTGGAATACTAGCCCAATGCTCTTCCAACTGAGCTACGCGGTCAGGACGGTTCGAGTAAGTGATATTTCGGAACAGTATCTAGTTCCTTCTATACCAATGTGTTCTTACTAATATGAATTTTTCTGTGTTGGTGTTGTGTACTCAGGTGAATAATATGTTTGCGATGTTACTCTGAGTGCATATCACTTACTCGAACCGTCCTGACCGCGTAGCTCAGTTGGAAGAGCATTGGGCTAGTATTCCAAAGGTCGTTGGTTCGAATCCCACCGTGGCCGGGCATATTTTTCAAGCTCGCCCGGTGAGGATATGCACTCAGAGTAACATCGCAAACATAGTCTTGAGTATGTCTATAAGAAACTTTTTTTGTCTGTTTGCCTTTCCATGTCGATAAATAGCAAGCTCAACAAAAAAATCCAGAATCCGAGAGAGAAATTTGTAGAAAATTACAATCATGACAATCCATAATCCAAACATGATTTGGGGGTAAATCAGCTACTTTTGCAATAAATCTGACATATTGTTGCAAACCAATACACCTTATATCTGCTATTTCTGGTTATGAGAGTAAAACGTCTTTGCAATACTGGCCAAATACTTGATATGACTCAATATATATATATACCAGACTAAGTTACCATTTGACAGAATGTACTTCCAGAGTTCTTGATGCTTTTTTCCATTGTCTTCAGATATTTTGGGTATTTTCTAGTTAATAGCATATGTGTTTAACAGACACATACAGGTATACATCTAACAGAGACACCCAGGTCAAACCAGAATCTTGAAATAGATGTCCCTCTCTATCAGATGCCACTTATCTAATATGCACTCTCCCTTTAGCAAGCTCTACTGTAGTTAAATTATTAGTGCTAGAGCATCAGTGTAATGTAGTGTAAGAGCTACTGCATGGAAATTAACCCATTAAGCTGCAGAGCTTCCCCATTGACAAGTAAAATTGTCTGGCGTTAGACAAGTAAAAAAATAAGTAAGGCGCATTGCGGCTCAAAGGGTTAATATTGAACAACTATATAATGCCTCATGCTTTATCAGATATAAAGTCACTCCATGTGACATATTATGGCCGACATGATTTGCCGATAAGCAGGGGTCAATAAACTTGGAACCGATGGTCGCAGGCACATCAGCACGAAACAAGTTCCTTGACTTCCTTGCATGCACATTTTCCAGAACTTTTACTTAGGAGTTTAAGATATAATAGCATTTGACTTGATCTTAAAATTTCTTTTACTATGTCTCTGAATTCTTAATCTGTTACAGTACTTCAGATATTTTGGATATTAGGGCCATTTATACGTGACAAAATAAGTCGCGACTTACATAAGACGCGACTTAAATAAGTGGAGTTATCGCATAAATGGTTCTCTACGGCTTTGGTCTTATTTATTTGCTATAGCTATAATGTTGTTTTGGTTGTTCTTGTTTTAATATGCAAGGAATTAAATTTTACGTTGTTTCAAGTTTCTGGCATGTGTAGTTAGACTTTTTGTCCAAAATTTCTTATTTAAGACGCGACTTAAATAAGAACAGCTAAAAGACCTGTTGTTATGTAAGACGCGTCTTATCCAAGACGCGTCTTACATAAGAATTTTGTACCTTTTATACGACAAACTCGCGTCTTACTTAAAGCCCGTTTTCCACTAGGCGAATTTGTTCGCGCGAACAGATAAAAAGTAGGAAGCGATCCTACTTTTTCGCCGCGAATTTTTTCGCCGACCAATCACGTTGCCGGATTTCGGTTTTCGCTTCGCGTCGCGCGAAAAAATTCGCCTAGTGGAAAACGGCCTTAAGTCGCGTCTTATGTAAGTCGCGTCTTATTTTGTTCCGTATAAATGGCCCTATTGTCTAATTAATAGCTAAAATACAGTATGTGTCTAACAGACACCCAGGCCAAACCAGGATCTTGTAATAGATGTCCCTCTCTATCAAATACCACATCTTACTGTGGTCTATACATTGAACACAGAATCTGTTACTATTAGTCTATTAGTATTAAAAACTTTTGTAATTGACTTCAACTAGATTTCGGTTCATTGTTTTTCATGATCGTCTCGACGTTTTTTTGCAGTCCTAGCCCTATAGGCACAAGAAAATGTTGCCCCCTGGTAATAAGACTATACTTGTATGAACAAAATGATTACGCACTAAGTGGAACATTGCTACATGTTCTGTAAAGATCTATTGAAGTGCTGGAAAATGTCCAACAGCTCCAGCAACATGTTCTGTAAAAATCTATTGAAGTGCTGGAAAATGTCCAACAGCTCCAGCAACACAACTGCTGGGAAATTTGTAACAAAACATCTTTCCAGGGAATGTTCTCACTGCATGTACATGATGCAGGAAATTTTTGTCATCTTAGTATATGCTTGGGAATGCCAATCATATAATTTTAATACTTACTCTTTACAAAAGCGTTTGGCAAGTTGAGATTGTCTTGTGTCGAGATTGAAGTCTTATCACATTATGCGGCACCCAGGGTCTTAGCTAGGATTTTAGATATTCTAATGACCAGGGCGTGCACATGTCAATTACCTTGAATAGCAAAATCACGGTTCTATAGTTATGCTCGCCAACAATAATGCTTGTGGTTGTTCTATGCTTTGCAACCAAATACAACGTGAGCATACGCTCTATATTGGCATATTGCGCACTGACATTAAAATATGAGTTATTTCAGCAACTCTTGGGGGGTATTTAAAGCCATTTTAACACCGGCCATACAGTTCCCATTATCCATCAAAATATTAAAACATCACGAATCACTTTTGCCAATTCAACAACAACAGTAGATTTTACAAACTTTCTTACGACGTAAATAGGAAGAAATTATGTCTGTTGTAAGTAGCACGACCTTATTTTATGAACCTACACGGCCTTACAGTATATAAATAATGAAACAGCGTTCATTTAATCTAGCCGTGTTTTCCCACTTTTGGCCGTGATAACACGGCCCTCTAGCTAGGACCCTGGCGGCACCATACCTTCTCTGACATCTACACATCCAGGAAATTTATATTTGACTTACACAGGAAATTTTTATTTTTGGATTTTCCTGCCAGGAAGAGAAATATATTTTCTAGGCCTGGTGTATATTGACTGCTTGTAATAAAATGTCGTTTCTATTTTTATATAGAGGAAATGAAAACTGGTTAAGCCTTGACCGGAAAGTTTTAGATCATGATTTTCCAAGATATGCCGATCCAATTGTATTTTATTTTGCTGTTAGGTGTGTAAATTTGTATACCGTACAGTTTTTTCATTGTCTTTCATATTATCTGGAATGATGCATCAATATGTAATAGAAAATATAATGGATCTTTATTTTTTTCTAACAGGTTTTATGTACCGAGTATAACTTATTTTAGAGAAAAAGCAACAGTGGAGCTATTTTATCTCCAAGCAAAGACATTAATATTCAAGGTTAGTTTAAGTCTTTCATTCGTTCAGTAAGAAATGTATTTGCAGAAACTATTTCATAATTTATATATCGTCTCCGAACGGCGAAAGTGACGTCCCCATCTCTGAAAGTAGCGCTTCCATTCATCCATGGTCCGTCGGACGCGGACCGAAGAAACCCGGAGAACTGCGAGGCCCAGAATTATTCGAAGGAGGGTATGTTGTGGCTATTTCCTTTTGCTGAAAATACACCTGGCTTCTGAGCTATGGTTATAATTCCGACTGCCATTTTATCAGCGAGAAATATTTGCGAAAATGCCAACTTGCCAACGTGTCTTAGGAATTTATTAAAGGTAGCTGAATGTTCCAGCTGAAACTGAACTTTGAAGTTAGTGGTTACTAACCCCCGTGGCGGCAAAGCTTTGCACCCCCAAGACGCCCCAGGACAAAGCGGCGCTTTTCAGTTTAAGCTGGGAGCCCCTGAGGTATATACACTTGTACACCCGCCCTGATTCATTCATGATTCATTCAATATGTTATTTCTTCATAAATAACTTGTTTTTATATTGTGTTACAATCACTCACCTTATAATGATAATTAGAAACAGATTGCCTGAATTCTTTGAATACCAGAACGATTACAAGATGATCCCCAGGAAATAAAATAATTCAGAAATGCCCTCGCAGACTTTGATCGTATAGATTCTGATACATCTTAAATAGTGTACAAATATACACGTTTTCTTCGTTTAGTTTTTGTATGTTTTCGGCTTCCCTATGTATCAAATTATTACGAACCACAAAATTCCTGATAAGATATACGCCCAAACAAGTTTGAAGCAATGCAAACAGATCAAGGTCGGAAAGACATGGTTTCATGTTACTTAAATATACAATATTTGAAATAAATCACTTTTCACGTTTTATCAATTAAGATAACAGGAATGAACGTTTTGTTAAAAATATTTAAATATACATTCAAGATACAAGAAATGTCCCAAACCGTCCTTTCCAACGGCTATCTTGTCCATTTCTGAAATAATTGCATCATCCAAAGTGCTATTATCGGTTGGAATGTGCTTGGACATGAACAATGGTATTTCTCAGCCACCAGCGGACTGGCGGTTATGACTGTGAAACACGTGTGGTACGCCATAGTTTCTGTACGTCTCCGACCAATTACAAATATGATCTATTAATCTCGCAGCTCTATTCAACCATTAATGTTTGCTGGAGAAAAAAATTTTAAAGCCTCCGAAAAATAGCCATAGCTATAATAGTATCACTCAATTCTGTCATAAAAAATTCCTTATCAATTTTCAGATATTCTTAAGTCTGCATTATAGGACCTCTCACCCCATGTTTCACGATAACGATGCGTCAAAAACGAGTAAAAACACCTTAGTTTTCATAACTGAAACCCACACATGGACGCTAAATAATTGACTTAATTCACGAGCTAATTTATGCCTGCAAAATACGTTAGAATTCGAAAATAACATCAATTTGTTGAGGGTTAAGTTGGGTTTTTTTTTTTTACATTTGGAAATCGTATATTAATGAAGTTTAATATGTTGGAATAAATGGCATCCAAACCGCAAATTAGCAAAACAACGCACAACAGATGGGTTTTGTGGCATATATTATGGGCAAGGAAGTGCTCGAACGGTCTAGAGGCTCTCGCTATAAACTTCAGTAGTTTACGTATAGTATAAAGGAACATGCGAACCTCTACTCAATCTAGATTGCAGAGGAATGACGCCGCTCTGTGCATGTTACTCGGCGAGTTGAGTCACCTGATGATCTGGGGACCACATTTGTATACTGAGACAGTAAGGGTATTGGGTCAAGACCTGTCAGAGCATACGAAAACTGTAGGTTTTCTGGAGGAACAGCTGAACCTTTGATAACAGACTAACAGGGGCACCCCCGTTAAGGTACGTTTACACGCTGCGATTTGTCGGGCCGATTTTGCTCGCTGTATGTAAATAACCTGTCGTGAGTACTCGCGTCAGCACCTTGCGATTCACAAAATCGGGAGAAAAATCTGTAACACTAACACAGATTTTTCTCACGATTCAACGATTTTTCTTCCGTTGTAAAATTGTTGAAAACTTTTCGCACGCAGAAAACTATAATATAAACAGCAGTGGCGTAACTACTATGGGCTCAGACCGGGAGAACCCGGGGGCCCCCAACCCCAATGGGGCCCCCCAGGTTTAGGCGATAGAGCAAAAACATTGGCCTGGGCCTCTGATATGTTACAATGTCGTTTTCTGACCATCAGAATTCTGTAAAATATCTCCCCCAAAGTCCTGGAAATAGCATTTCAGAGAGTCTAGATTCAAAAATTCTCCTGATGAGCATGCCCTGGACCCCCTAGAAAACTCGTGCATATACGGCGCTCAACTCGTGCCTTTGGCACTTCTACTAGGGGGGCCTTCGAAAATTTTGACCCGGGGGCCCCCTGATATAACGTTACGCCACTGATGAACAGACGAGAGAGCGGACAGCTTCAATTGAACGTTTAAATCGCTAAATGTCGAAGAAGGGGCATCGATTATTTACCAAAATCGGCCCGACAAATCGCAGCGTGTAAACGTAGCTTTAGTGTTGAGTACCAGTTGGACTTATGACCACTACTATTAGTAAAGGGTACTCGACTATGAAATGACTGAGACATCGAGTCTCTAGGTGTTTTTACATGACCTGTAAGTATTTGTTATAGAAATATTAAATATTTCTTAGTGTAAACATTGCAAGGATTATAATATGGAAAAAAATAATTTTTCTGATTTGAAATAAAAGGATGAAGTGAAGGTCATGTTGGATTTATTATTGTCATTGAGTGTTCCATATTGCCAGTGACTATGATGCCAGAGACGCTCAATTCTGACCAATCATAATGCGAGAAATTCAATAGTCGCTTCAAAATTTCGAGTTTCTACCACATTGCGTAGAATTTGCGGTAAGGAAATGTTACAAATATAACTGAAAAGCCTGCAATGAAATTAAATTGTATCTCTGAAACAAATACATGAGACAAACCTCAAGTTATTAAATATAGCTATTGGATCCCTGTAGTTTTCAGGTTCCAGAAGCGTCAGTAGTACTGTTTTACTTATTGAACCTTATTTAGTCGCCTGCTAGGAGAGTCACTAACTTTGATTTCAGGAAGGGTACCAGTCGGAAAATGTAGAGCTTTAGGTCCTCTCAAAAGCCGTAGCAAATTATTGATGGTTGTGCAGAGCATTATTCATTAATATGTTATTGCTCGTTTGCAATCAACGCCATCTTGGTTGATTTTCAAAACATCTAAAAATCTGTATTCTTCTTTCTTTGTCGTATTGTGCCAGAAATCGTAAACTATCCATAATACAGTAAGACGTTTTCAAAACAAACCAAAAATATTGAAGTAACTCAACTATTTCAATGTAAACGACTGGACAAAACTTTAGAATCAACCAAGATGGCGCCTAATGACACGTATAGTGACGTCATGTGCAAGCAAAGAGTGCGGAGGATATAATGAGCATGTATATTCTGACAATACTAGATTCCCCTTATTACGTTTTCGCAGCGCTTTGCATTGTGGTTATAGTAGTATCACTGATATTCAAGGTGGCTTATTTTTTGTCCTGACCCGTGCAAGAACTTTTAAAAAAAGCTAGGGTCAGGTGCGCGGTAGCCAACAGCAAAATATTCGCGAAAACATTCAATAGAGACCTTACAATGTTAGGACGGCAACGCGACGGCCAAAACAAACTCCTTCAAATAAATGGTAGTAATGATAGTTCGTCGTATATTATCAATCGTATGAATTTAATACAGTTTTAGAAGTTGAAGACATGGGTTTTATAGTTGGGAAGAGTTCTGCTAAACCCAGTTTGAAGTTGCACTTGTTGTGGCTTGGAATGCAGCCGTTGTATCAAGACGTGAAAATCTGTGATTTGGCGTTGTAAACAGAGCGAGGACAATGTCTAAATTATTCATATATTGTAATTACTCAATTCTTTTCAATGATCTATTGTATTGGTAGGCGTTGCCGTCGCGTTGCCGTCCTAAAATCGTAAGGTCTCTAATCGTAAGGTCTCATTCGAGGCCGCTATCTTTATCAGTGATACCACTATAACCACAATGCAAAGCGCCACGAAAACGTAATAAGGGGAATCATCAATTAGTCTAACTCTGAATAAAGCCCAGTGCTTGAAACAATCTGTATGTATCGGAGCGGTATGTAGCGAAACAACTATACCTGAAAATCTATGAACAGAACTTAGGCGTTTCGAGCAAAGACCCTTCGTCGGGAAATCAGTGACTAACTTCTGACGAAGGGCCTCCACTTGAAACGTCGAAGTTGTATTTATAGTTTTCAGGTAGTTGTGCAGGAATGGATTTACTGGGGGGACGCACCCCCCTAGCCCTGGCCAGAGGGGTGTGGGGGGTTGCTATTTTTCATCATAAAGCAAAAAATATTAGAGACAAAATGAGATACAATAATTTGATGTTGTAATAAAATGATGATATGCGAACTGTGAACAACAATTACAATTCAAAGACAGTAGTCAAGCAAGACTTTGCACTAGTGAAGCAAGTTGATGGGCGGGCGGCACACATGACCGACACAACTCGGCACCAGACCTGGCAGAGCACCCATGCATCCCCCTACCAGATCATGCTGGATCCATCCTTGTAGTCGTGTCTCTATACATAACTAGTGTTTGAAGGGTGACACAGCAGTCACTGACATATTGTCACAGTTTGCGAGAGGGCCTGTGACGCCGTTATACCGCAAGGCATAAAGAACTTATTTTAAAGAAAAAGCGTTTGTCTTTGTAATAATTAAAGCCTTAGAGAAGAAAGAATCACGACAAAGAAACCTCATGTCTAAAACACTATCAATGATATTGACCATATTGCCCTCAATAATATCTCAATTGGGATATTCCAGTCTTCAACTCACACGTCAAAAAGTCCTCTTCAGAATCATAATGCTCAACATTCATTTCGGAATCTGTTTCCGATTTGGACAAAGTTGTATTAAAGTTGTGTCACAAGTTGTCTATGATAGTTGTACTGATTAAAGTTGTATAATATAGTTGTATTGTTTTTGGAGGAGTTGTATCTGTATATTACATATATATTACAAAGTTGTATTAATAGTTTTATTATAGTTGCATGTATTATGGTGATGGTTTGAAACGGTTGTCAAGCCTAAAGCCCATTTTCCACTAGGCGAATTTGTTCGCGCGAACAGTAAAGGCCCATACAGACCGGACGCGATTCGGCAACGCGACACGAATTTTCAATTAATGACATTTAACTGTACTATTTTTCTATGTTTTTCAAATATTCGGAACCACTTAAGCAATTTTAGCTAAACATTGGTCTGCATATCTTGTAAAATTTTTATGCGTTGACGGTTTTATTTGTTTTTAAAAATGAAAATTCGCGTCGCGTTGTCCAATCGCGTTCGGTCTGTGTGGACCGTAAAGGCCCAGACACACCGGACGCGATTCGACAACGCGACGTGATTTTTCGATTTTCACTGACCGATAACTTTGATCCTAGTTTAAATTTTCCAAATATTTAGAAGCGTTATAACATTTTGAGTTATTTGGTCTACATATCTTTTACAATTTGCTCTCATTGGCTGTTTTATTAACTTTCAAAAACTAAAAATGTTTTCGCTGACCAATGACATTGCCAAGATTTGTTCTTCGCTTCACGCGAAAAAAATGGCCTAGTGGGAAATGGGCTTTAAGTTCTACTCGATCCGCTAGCCTCCTCAACATGCGTCGTATGGGGCCCCTGTGCTTATAGGTTTATCCGCAACTAAATTTTACCCGCGCGCAAAGGAGGAGCCGATATGCACGTGACTACCGTATGAAAAACATAAGCGGAAATGCATCTTGATAAACTGACAGTAATTTTTAAATCGCCTTAAAAGCCAAAGTACACTCGGATCAACAAAAAATTTAGCGCAGTCAACTCTTTGAGGCAAGCATAAAAATGTAATAAAAAAATATCCTACAGTATAACAAGAAACTTTCTTATTTCATGCATTGTTTTTTTTTTTCAATTATAGGGTAACATTCATTGTGAAAGCGATGTTGTCTTCCAGCTTGGTGCTTACGTTCTACAGGTACTTTACATATTACGTACTGCATGGCCTTACCTGATTATAAGCGGCTGAGCCTATTGGCCATTTCCCAATCGAGCAGAGGACTGGGTTTAGTCGCTTGTTTGGAGGGACAAAAAATAAACAATATGCTGAATATGCAGCCTCGTACCCAGGCGCAAATAACTAAAAATAGGCACACTACAGTGCTTTTATATAGATCAGTGGCTAAGTTGAGCGAGGGTGCTTGGGGACCCCCGCGCGTTCGAGCCACTGATCTATACAGAAACACTGTAGTGTGCCTATTTTTAGTTATTTGCGCCTGGGTACGAGGCTGCTGAATATGGCATCTAGGAAGTTTCCTACATTCCTAAAGTTATTTGTGCAGCCTGAAACGCAACAATTATAATAAGCCATCTTTTAATATATATTTAGCTCGCTCACTACAACTTGTTGTCCCTCCAAACGTCCCTCCAAACATCGACTAGACCCAGTCCTCTGCTCGATTGGGAAATGGCTAATTGAAAAAGTGAAGCGGATGTATTGTATACAGGGCCGCCGAGAGGTTGGCGGGGGCCCGGGGCAATTTTTTTTAGGGGCCCCTATCTATAAAATTTTTCCGGAAAAAATTTTTTTCGGCAGAGAACAACTTCCCGTCGACAACTTTTTAGGTAAAATTTTTTTCCGGACGAGTACGTTGCAATTGCTTTCCAGGGACTTTATCTCATTTTTTCATGCCAAATTTCGGTACTTAGCCCAAAAAACAAATATCTTGTCTTTTGCGCGGAAATATTTAACACACAAAAAAGACTGGGGCCCAACAAAAAATTTTCAGGGGCCCCCAGCACCTCGGGGCCCGGGGCAATCTCCCCCCCATCCCTGCCCCCCTCTCTGCGGCCCTGATTGTATACCGCGTAGAGTATACGAAACTGTAATTCGTCTGAGTTCGGTGGATAATGCATGAATGTTGTTTGGTGACAAAAAGAGCTTAGGCCAGAGTTTATTTTAAGAAAAATTTAGAACTGCACATATTAGGGATGTTACGAAGCATCATGTGTTTGACTGAGGGGTGAAAGGATTTTTATCTATATTTAATGTTATAAATTTATAGTTAACGTTGTGAATTATGATAGACTCTTAATTTGTATATAGGTGGCAGAATAAATGTGTGGTTGGGTGGGCCAGACAAACTCTATTCTGGTTGGGGGAGCTACAAGTAGGGGGTGTTCCCCCAAATTTGAATCTAGAGGCTCGTAAGTTCTGGCAAGGATTTGTTTCACCCGACCACCCACAAAAACTATTTCAAAACATGTAACTGGGAATCAGGAATACTCAATATATAATAACCTTAAGCAGCAAAGAATATTAGGTTCTCCCACTCTAATCTCTTTTGGATGCTTCGTTCGCCCCAATTTTACCTCCTGTTCCATTACCCCAGCACGTATGTCCTCTCCCAGAAAACGTTTCAATTTTTGATGCTGAATGACAGCATTTCTGGCATCTGGAGCATCCACAAGGAAAACGAGTAAATGAGAAGACTGTTTTGAGGTTATATTTTTGTTAATTTGGTGACTGCACATTTGAGTTTTAAGAACTGCACAAATGGGTTTAGAACTGCACATTTTGTGTAGAACTGCACGTTAAAATAAACCCTGGCTTAGGCTTTACGTAAGTCCGCAGAAATTTGTATCGGGTCGTGATTTTCTTTGCAGTGTTTCTCTCATGAATTGAATGATATAAATAAACTACAGTATAAATACCCTTCCTTGAGTACACTATATCCCCCACATCTCTTGTGAAAAACTTTTTCTCTTGTTGTCCATTCCACTGACTAATTTACCCATACTCCGTACTAATATTTTCATTCTTTGTTTCAAGGCGACATTTGGTGAATTCACAAAGTAAGTATAGAACGATTTCTCCGCTCTTTTTTGTATCAACTCCCTCCCCCCCCCCTCCCCTCCCCTCCCCCTGGTCTAAGATTGTTTACATGATTCAGCTCAAACGAAACTCGAATGTTAAGTTGAAGTCCATGCAGTTCCGATGTAAGAGGCTGTTTTTCAATGCAACATTTTTCTCATGAAAATCAAACTGGGTGGACGCTACTCACGTTTGCGTGATTGAGACGCTTGGATTTAACTAATCTCAATACACGAAAACGAGGCTCTATATAGCCAAAATGACATACTTTCTGGAAAGGTGTATTATTTGGGATTTAGTGATGTCATAATTTTCAACAAGGTTAATTGAGACGACATCAGTACTCTGAAAACATCACACGTGATCATAAGTTTCCTATCCAGTATCCAGTGTCTTTATGATCCATAGAAAAACTTCTACTGTACGTCATTACTACTACTAGTATCGTAGTACGATATATTTCGGTGATCGCTTTCTTAATTTTGGATTTGTGCCTGGGACTCAGCACCGGTAGGCTGTTACGGTATTGTGAAAAAAAAGAGAATACCGATATTAAAAAACCCGATATAATATCGGTATTTCGATATTTTTCTATTCTTGAAAGTCACTAAGCCGTAAACCGCACAAAAACAATCAGTGGTTCCAATTTCCGAGTACACGTTATTCAACATTCCAGGAATTTCACGGCTGTTGACATCTTCAGACGAAACAACTACCGACTACTTGGAACTTTCTAGTTTTATGAGCATCACAGAATGCTTCTTCTGAGAAGTGTAAACGTCGAAAAGTGTTATCTACAAGCTGTTGCATGTGCACGCTCAAATCGGCTCAACACGGAAAATGCCAAACATACTTCATTATTTTCGGTATGTCGATGTGTCGAAAAACCAAATATGGAATAACCGATAATTTAAAAAGCCCGATATTTATCGATATATCGATACTGCAACAGCCTACTTTACGGCTATACATAAACTATTTCTCACTCATTCGTACATCCGCATGTATATGTAAACAGTAACTCCCCCTCTCCTGGACGTATTATAAATGTCTAGAAAGAACAGCGTGTTTAATTAATGCCTCTCTGTTACCATGCAAGTACAAGTATTTTGAGAAAAAAGTATCGCAAGAAAATTCCAAATTTTGACTGCGATGATTGTTTGTTTATAGTGAAAGTGCTGCAAGAAATGATATAAAGAAAGTGCCAATTTTACCAACAAGGACGTTAAAAGAACATCCGTCGATAACTTACTGGTAAGTATGCATGTAAAAATTGAAGGTGAAGTCATTGGCCAGTTGATGTCACTCTGAGTGTTTCCACACCCGGGCAAGCTGAAAACTTCGCTTGACTGCGGTGGGAATCGAACTCGCCACCTTGGACTATAGCAAAACAACAGGGTCATAGCGACCAGGGGTGTAGAGGATGTAACACCCCCAATATATGTTCATGAGTAATTTCTAGGTGATTTAAGCTGAAAACAGGTAAATTAAAAAGCAATTAAACAGGTAAATTAAATTTTACAGGTAAATTAAAAAGCGTTGGAAGGTTAACGTGGAAGTTAAAAGTGAACGCAAGCTTAAGAATGCCAAATTTTACTCGCATTTCTGGGCCTTCTGCATGATGGTTTAAATATTCTAAATTTTCTGGGGGATTAGCCCAAATAGATTTAGTCTGTATCTCATTGTGCTAATATATTCTTTCGAGAGAAAAACATTTTATTATGAAATATTAGAGTTTGCGTTAACCGGAAGTGCGTGCGCATGAATTTTACCAGGAATTTTCAGCAAATACTAGAAATACAGAGGACGTATTACAACTTAAAGCGTGCGAATTAATAATAGTAGTTTGCAGCTTCTTTTTTGTACTATGTATTAACTGCATTTGGAATAGGCATTGCCTATCGACATAGTGCTGTGCAAACTCCGGTTTTTCATCTCCGGCTCCGGCCGAATTACAGCTCTGAGCTCCGGCTCCGGCCACATCATAAAATATTAAATAAATGTTTTACGATCAGAGAACATTTATTAATATTATTATGAATAACCCTTTTCGCGCTTCCTAATTATCAGATAACATAACTCAGGAAACAAAACAGTGAAAACACTTAACCACGCAGAAAATATCTATATGGAAACCAGCCTCGAAAAATCTTTGACACGAGGCATGACGCGAGGCATGACGCTAACACTCTCAGACTCCACAGCGCAATTGTTCGCACGCAAACAAAGTACTCTGTCATTTTCAAAAGGTTGATATTTATTTGTTTTGTACTTTTTCGTTATCTACAAGGCATGAAATACACAGACTACAGTATGTAGCGCTAAGTCAGATGGCTTCATGAAAGCATGACGTTTGTAAGTTGCGATCGTATTACAGCTTTTCGACGCTGTTCCTGTGGGTTGTGGCAGTTTGAGTCTATGATGAATTCATTAACAGCAATTGGCAGTTTGCAGTAACTAACAATCGTTTGACATTTGTCTCATTTCATATTGTTTTCTTGTCATTTTGCCGGAGCTGGGAAAACGTAACTCGGGCTCCGGCATACAAAATTCTGCTCCGGCTCCGGCGTCGGAAAAACTGCCGGAGCTCCGGCAGAACTCCGGCTCCGGCAACTCCGGCGCACAGCACTATATCGACATTTTGTCTATCGTACAAAAGGACCCAAATTTCCCTCTGGCCCGAGGGCCCAAACCATGCATGGCCTGCAGTCCGTCCCCGGTCGCGGGTTCGATTAAAATTAAGCAAAGTTTTCAGCTTGCTCAGTGCGATGTAATATCATCCCAAATTAGTGGAAGTACTTCGGTCAAACTTTGTGTAAATTATTGGTAGAGAATAAAAAAAAAATTGTCTAATACTGTATTACCTACAGAGCTCGAAACAGTGCGGAAAGAAATGCTTTAGAGCATGCACTACTTTCCGTTAATTATCACAACAATTTTTCTCAGCGCTCCTTTCCGTTTTAGTATAACAATAGTTCGACCATTGATGATAATTTCACTAGTTCCGTACGTATGTTAAACCTAATGTTTATCATGTTTCTTTCCTCAGTGAAGATATGGTTATTGGACATTATCGCAAGTTAGAGAAAATGAGAAAAGGGCAGGCTATTGTTGAGTAAGTATATCAGTCGATCTATCGGTTTAGATGTACTTCAGCTGTTTGTTTATAGGCTATTCACAATGCTTTGAGTTTCGTATATTTGACTACCGATATGTGGATATATATCACATGGTGTGATTTATCTCTTGAGTAGTTCGCAAGAAGGGGCTTCGTATATAACATCTGAACTAAGTCATTCCATCTTTCCAAAAAAATGATCTGGTGATCGTCATTACTTCGATTATACTGTAGTTATAGTATGCCAACCCAGGCGTTACCCAATTTCCAGCCAATGGTTTGAATTCCAACACCACCACAGGGATCATACTCACCTATGTGGCTATGACAAACCTGGGATAAACCTTATCATAAAGAACTACAGCTAGCTAGTATAGTGTTTTAGATTTAATCCAGTATATATATACGAACTTGGATTAATTTCCACAGTGTTTAGTGGGCGTGAGACATACATTACAAACAAAGATAAACATGCTTGCATGCGTCACCAAGTATATAATTTGTGGTTAATTCAAAGCCTAAATCATTGTGTATTCTAAATCAAGACCGGATTTTGGCGGAAATGGTGGGAGAGATGGAAAATTTAGGGGAAGTGCAACGGTGTAGCTCACGGTCCCCATAGAATGTCAAGGCTTATATATAATGTATCCCCCTTAAGTCAATTGCGTGCCATATGCATGTGCTTTAATTTACATATGTATATCAGTGTATATATGAATTATGACTGTACGACTCGTCCAGTTCTGCCCTTCATTATACAACTACGAAGTTTCTTTCGAAACATTGCATTAAAATGGTACTTGACACAGAGATAAATGTCCATCACTATTTCAAATTTACAAAAAAACTTTCTTGCAAAGTTTAGACCCTAAGCAACACATAAAACTTTTGATCTATCATTTAACCTTTCCCATGCCAGTGGAGACGCATGACTTTTCAGGGGAGGTGCAAGAAATCTCAGGGGAGGTTCAAAACGATCTCAGGGGCGCACCACCCCACACTTCCCCTCAAAATCTTCCCATCTTCTAGATCATGTCTTAGCCCTTTAAATGGCTTTATTTATTTGGAGTGTATGCATGTAATATGTCTCTGTTGTTCCTTTTATGGATATAACATGTTATATTATTATATTGCTATTTCTATTGTTATTCAAACTTGTAATAAAGCTCTCTTTCATTTACGTATGGGCGTGTAAGTACTTGATGTAAATTGCACTCTAATTAACTATACTTAACATATTTTCTTGCTGCATGTAAAATCTTCTAGGTATGTTGACTATATGTTCGTGCTTAAGCTAGTTAAATAATATCGTTTGTAGTTTACTTGCTTAGGACGCAATCGTTGATCGAACAATCGTACAACGTGTTATGATTACGTTTTGCATACAGTGTAAAATATAGTTCAGTGTAACTCCTGTAGCGTCAGTTCAAACAAGGCCACTCTTCGTCTTTCTTTGCCATGTACGTCATCGTTTTATTGAACTTCTTAAATCTTTCATTAACAATATCATTAAGTTGTTGTCAAAAGACTTTCATTTATAAGCGTCGTAAGTATTGTCGCAAAATCATGTTCAATTACAAAGAAACGTTTCAGACAAGTATTGGCACTGGACCTCTGAGGATTGCAATTTTTTTCCCTGACTTTTTTGCCCAAAGCCTACGAAGTATCGAAAACTAAAATGTAAGAAACGAGAAACAATTCAGCTGCAAAGGCAACCCATATAGTGAATACTATGAATAACAAATATAAGTAATTATAACTGTATATGGCATTATTGGTGTTTACCCTGGCAATATTGCTTTAAGTACCATTTAATTTTATGTCGATATGGAAACCGCCATTTTTAAAGAGCTCCAAGCCGTTACGAAACTTGCACTTAAAAGCTCTCTTTATATAGTCTTTCGATAATATTGCACGATTGCATTGCATGAGTAAACATCAAGTTTTTATAGCTTGTATAATCAACACTGTTACTGAAGTTTGCGTGTTAAACTGCACTGATATACGCTACTATACACTACGCGGTAGAGGTCTATAGCCGTATTGAGATCTTGCGTCAAAAATGGTTTACGAAACTACGTTAAGGTAAATATGTGCCTGGTTATAATCAACATTTCCCATGTTAGTCAATCAACTCTTGCCTGCTTGGATCATCAACGTATGTTTGGTGAAGCTATATAACTTTGCTGAAGTCTATGACTTCTTTTATGTTCATATCGAATTAGTGGAACATGCAGTCGTTATTCTTTTACTATGACGACTTTTAGTTAATTGCTTTCGAAACAAATAAAGATGGTACAACTGTATGAATTAATGCTGGTACAGATGGTACAACTGTATGAATTAATATCATAGATTCACAATAATTTTTCTTCTTAGATATTTGAATAAATTTCGTAGCATACCAACGTACGGTGTCCACTATTATGAAGTTAAGGTAACTCGTCTTCTGAAATACTAATATATTTAATAAAACTAGCATTCTATACTGCGGTAAATATTGCATATTAGCGAGTCCATGTCACACGAGGCAACTTGCACTGAAGCAATTTCTGGTGTACTCAGATAAGAGGTATGTTATCTTAGAAACAGGTTCAGAGAAATTTTAAGCATGGTCCAGGGTTTATTTTGCCGACATTTTTCATTCCATCCCTAAAAAGTGCCCGGCGGCAGAGTAAAATACAAGCCATGTTCACATTTTATCGATGAATGATGGCATAGCTTCGTATTCGAAATTACATTGCAAGTTGCAGCGCAAATCATCTCCTAACGTTTACAAGGGCTTAATAAGATGATGAATTTTACAATCATGTAGTGTTTTGTATAATTTAATGACTAATGTGTTGATATTTTGTTTTTCGTGCAGGATAAAGGAAACATTCCTTGGTGGCTGGGTATGAGTCCCAAGGGCGTTGGTGTTTATGATCATTCAGATAAAACCAAACCTAGAAAGGTCAGTCATGTTAATATATTTTGCTAAAATAGCAGATTTATAAACATAGGACAACAGAAGAGTAAATGAGTTAAAGATCCGGGCATCGAAGGGTTTGCCAGATAAATAAACTAAGTGATGTTTTCCGCTGGTGCTTGTACCCTATATGCTTCACTTAAAATCTCAGACTTTGCTTTCGACTTTTCTAATTAATTCGGCTTGGAGTTTTAATTGCGAGTTTGTGTTCATGTTGGAGATCTTCGCAGCGGTTTTCGAGTTGTATTTTTCTTAGCTTTGTCCAACTACGCTTTAAGCTTCCCTGTCGGCTCTGTGACACAGGGTACTGTCGGCTTCGCCAATATCACTTTGATTTCCTCATTCCATGCTTCCATTTATTCAAGGTTTAATTTCGCAATAACTTTAAACCCTCAACGGTATTTTTTTGTTTGTTGGTCTCACTAACTAAATCTTTTAGTGTTTCCTGTTGTCTTCCTATGGCTATAAGCTTAAACTTGCCTCCTGGGGCCGGTTGTTCAAAGGTGGATTAGCGCTAATCCAGCTTTAAAATTTAACCCACTGTTTTAGTTTGCATACTTCTGCATGTCCACTTATTTCATAATGTCAGAAAAGAAAAGTTCTATTGATCCAGACACGGCTTATAAAGAAATATTTCCAAATTTATAAACAAGCTGTCAGGAAGTTTCCTTTGAATTTTAAGTTAACCTAGGGTTAAGCTAATCGGCTTTTGAACAACCGGCCCCTTGGAAGTTTGTATGTTATTTATTGTTTGTTTATTACACATGAATGTCAGTCGTATCGGAGTTCTCATCTGCGCAGCCAAATTAACTTTTTCAAGTTATACACTATAATTTAGTTAGGCCTGTTTTGGCGGGGTTTGCAGGTTGTCTGGAATTCAGATTTGAAGCCTGCATGGGGATGGGAGTTTGGATATAAATGTGTCTTTCAAAAAGGACAACCTACCAATTATTACAGCCTGCAATTCGCCCGCGCGTGGAAAGCCAAAGAACTATAGGCTATCATGTCAAAAGTGGGCAAAATTAAAGTCCTGTGCAGGCTGTGCTTTGTGAGAGGATTAATCTCGGGTTAGCACTATCGCGAACTATTGCTTGAATGACGAATATATAGCTTTCTTATGTTAATTAAAAACATGCGAATAATAACCTCATTTTCAATGTGGTGAGAAAAGTGTTAATCATTGTACAATAACAGGTTGTATATGGTCTGACAATGCACAAAGATATTGCAAATGCATCAAAAGCCGCAGTCCGACTGGAAAATGACACTTCCATAGTATATATACTGTGGGAATTCTATGACTATATAGAAATTATATGAAAAATGGTTAGAAATTCAATTTCCAAAGTTTTGCAAACTCCCTTGGTATGGAAATTTTCCAGAAAAAGCGTGTGGAAATTTTCCATAAAACCCAGAAAGGTTGGAAATGTTTCAAATTTTCTAATGTTCACACGTTACATAAATTGTCTGGGGCAAGTGACTATATATATATACACAATATAAGACGCTAAAGTTCACGTCAAGTATTAACCAATGTCATTCCTGGCTCTGGTAAGCAGAGCCAATGAATTAAGAACACTATATATACAACAAGAGGGCATCGAAACGTTTGACCGTGTGAATGCCACGATTCTTTAAACCCAATATAAGGGGACGGTTGCATGCATGTCTGTTAACTTTCTGCTATTAAAGTGTCTTTGTACTAGTTTGTTTGCATCTTGATCAGAGCGTGTGAAAATGTAAATCTTATTGTTATTGTAATTAGTCTTTATATTCTGGGGAATACAAATATTCTAAAATAATTTCTTTTTCAAGGTCTATAAATGGCTTCAAATTGAAAACCTTTACTTCAAAGAGCGGAAATTTTCAATTGAAATAAAAAATCTCCGCAAGTAAGTCTTATGCACATTTTATAAAATATATATTACAGTTAATATATTTGTATACTTAAATTATTGCACGTATAATTATTAGTATAAATTCCCATGCATATTTCATGTTGACCATGTTTCAGTAATTTAATAAATATTTGCGTGTATTGATTTTTGTTAACATCTGTTAAAAGTTATCTGTGTCTGTTTTTGTTTCTTTCCTTCAACCTTCGTCGGAATCTCAAAAAACTTTCAAGTTTGTTTTTCTAACTGAGTCTGAGAACCGTTATGTTTTCTAGACACAACTGACAACTTACCAACTTGGTTGTTGTTGAAACGAATTAATTTCATGCTTCTTATTTAATAGAATTTCCGAAGTAAGTTTGGATGGTGGACGTCAAAGGTAGGTTGACATTACCGACATTATACTCATTAGGAAATCAACAATTCATCGGTGAAATTCATATTTGTATACTGCAGGCACAGAATGAGGATCTACTGCATGCTTCAGTAGCGCTGTCTCAGTGAACTCCATGCATATATATCTGGAGCAAGAACTTCAGTCATTCGGCCTGTGAGAAAAGTGAAGCCAAGATTGGCGGCCATTGACGTCCAATAGCTTTTTCCCAGCTAATTCCAGTTTTTTTCTAACCGACTGTATCGCTAATCAAGTTATCAGTTCGTAAAACCTTAGTGTTGTTCTTTAAATCGATGTCAAAATACGAAATTTCGGCACACTGCTTGCCAGGATGGCGGTCATTGAAGGAGCTATTGGACGTCAGTTCCAGTCTCTTTCTATTGTTTTTGTCTGCGCGGTTAACACGAAGCTGGCTTCACTTTTTGGCCCCGAGTTCTCGCTCCAGATATATACGGAGCTCACTGCACTTTTAACCTCTCGAGTGTTGTATCTAATTAGTAAACTAAACCAACGAACCATCTTTAAGACTTGAGTATACAGAACAGAACTACCGATCCAAGCAATCAACAAGTATTAATCCATGACGGGGCTTGTAGGCCCGGGCCGTGATGATAATATTCCCACGCAACTAGTTCTGCTGATTTAGAAAACGATAACGAACGTGCAACAAGGCTCATAAATTTCTGGACCTTTGGAATCCACTTAAGTCCAGCAGCCTCTTTGTCGACGTTTTGCGCTCCTCCCGTTTCTTTATTTTGGTTGAGAAGGTCAGCGGAAATATCTACTAATTATGGCAGTACTTCATGAATGCTGAACAGTGCGCAGTTAAATTGCGTGTAGGCGTTACGGTGAAGGTCAACGCTCATGAAAACCAAGCTAGAAATTATAGTTTTTATATTAGCTGCCAATATCAATATCTCATTGCTTAATTATAAGGACAAAAAATAATAATTCTAATAATAAAAAGTGCATTATCTGAAAATCACGGGCCAGCCTCGTAAAAGCCTGGGCCTGTGGTCTTTAGCCTACTCAGTCTACTCAATTTATCCTTGCAAAATGAAGTGCTTCCAATGAAAACCGTAATGTATTTTTAGTAGTTTTAATAGTTCTCGTCTATGAAACCTGCAGCAAATTTGTGACTGTTTAATATTAACTCTTAAGAAAAAAAAGAAGGAACTGGAAAAAAGCTGCGTCCCCGCGTCAATTCTGGACAAACCCACTGACCAGGCAGAAACAAAATATTTTTGGCAGTTTTACGTGATACGCGACCATCTCACACAAAAAGGTTGATAGAAATAGTTGTTTGGCTAATATTTAGGCGCGGTTACTAATTCAATATCAGAAACGACAACAACTGAACAAAGTCTGCCAATGCGATGAGTCATCGTATATAATTATAAGATTCGTGTGTCGTGATGGAATTTGGCGAGCTTTATGCGGTTGTTGACATTTCTGATATTGAATTCGTAACCGCGCCTAAATGTCAAAAACAACCAGTGTTTCCACTTCTACAACACACAATTTTGTGTTTTGCTCATATTTTTTCCTTATTTTGAACAAACTTTCCTTCACCAGTTTTGAAAATTTCCTTAAAATTTCTTTCTGTAATAAAGTGTTTAACATACAGGGGCAGGTTGTATAAAACTCTTAATCACTTTTTTAATCACTATTTTGTAGTTAAATAGTGATTAACTCTCAAATAGGCGATTCTTATTGGATGACGTTTAGCCACTTAATTATAATTAACTTTATTATATAAACATAAGTGTTATATAGAGTTTTTGGCCAAAATCGTATTTAATTAAACACACGTAAAAAATACGATATTTTTACGTGTGAAAATATCATTTGTTGTAAAACGCATTGCCACGGACGTTTTATTGTTTTTCACTGAATTTTGTTTATATAATAAAAAGAAAAATACATGGGTGCTTGGAAATACCAGATTTATTTCTCGTGTTGAACATGATATCTCACTCGTTCGCTGCGCTCACTCGAGAGATATCATGTTCAACACTCGAAATAAATCTGGTGATTTCCGCGCACCCATGTATTATTCTCTATTTAATCACTTTTTTATACAACCGGACCCTGGTATTTAACTATTATGCCATGCTAAAGCACAGTTGTCAATTGCATAAGCTTACCCGGCGTGCACACAAGCAAAATTGTTGAAATGAAAGAAGAAAAAAACAACCAATTGGGCGCTAATTAGATCACTCATAGCAATGAACACGTGACTCAACATCACTGAACTATATACAGTAACTGAATAAACTGACACATATATACATATGGAACTGTAAATAGACTATATTACTTATAACTCAGTGGTCATACATTAGTAAATATGAAATTTTCTTCTATTTTCCTTCATAATTCAAAATTTCCTTCTATTTTGGATTTCCTTTTTCCCTTCCAATTGCCAAAACGTCCTTAAAAAGTGGAAACCCTGAAACAACTATTGCTATCAGCTTTTTTGCGTGAAATGGTCGCGTATCACGTGAAGCTGTTGTAACCCTAAGAGGCTGCACCATTTACTGTTCGGAGTACTCCGGATTTTCGGAACACTAATTGAATCGAACCGAAAACGGTCACATGACTGTTCTGACTGCCCTTACTCTAAAGTAAAGGCAGCCAGAACAGACATGTGACCGTCAGAACAGTCATGTGATCATTGTTGGTTCGATTTAATTAATGTTCCGAAAATCCGGAGTACTCCGAACAGTAAATGGAGCAGCCTCTAAAATACGCGATCCTGATTGTTAACTGCACCTTCGTGTTAACCACGTTTGTTAAAAATATCATATTCCGTGCAGATAACTATTTTAAAAGAGCCATAAACATGTTTAGTTTCATAACGATTGCCGCAGTTCTGACTATACCCTTAAAACTGTCAATGTAGCCTTAAAGGTGACGTCACATTCGAGTGTATAAAATTAAATTATTATATGTGAGATCAGTTCGATTCATCTAATTCTTTTCATGTCATATACTGTATGTATTGATACAGTCCAAAACAATTTTGATGTATCTGATAGTATTGCATTTTATGAAACTTTAAATTTGTCGCACAGATAGTGATGATATTCGTTCACTTGTTCTCACTTATTAGTCCTTGACATTTTTGGATGATACATAAAATATTATAAAAATTGTTACTTTTTGCTTGTAGTTTAATGTGCGCTGTATATGTTTTCAAATTCTAGAAGTAACTCGCTGGGTCGTCGGGTGAATGGTCAAAGTCGTGTACTGTTGCATGCTTGGTATGCAAGCACAACTGTACAAGCGAAAGCAATGTGGACGATGGCAATTAGTCAACATCAGTTTTATTTGGATAAGCGAGACCAAGAAGTTAGTATAAAGCCCTGATTCCACGAGCGCTTTTTGTCAGCGAAATGCGAAATATTTCGCCTGTTTCTTTTGAATTGCGACCACTCGAATAAATTATTTCTACTTGATTGCTCACAATTCAAAAGAAACAGGCGAAATATTTCGCATTTCGCTGACAAAAAGCGCTCGTGGAATCAGGCCTTTACATAGTCTATAATGTGTTCTTATCTTTCGCAAACATGGGTTGCCCCAAGAACCATTTCATCAGGCACAACAGGTATATGAAACACAATCCCTGGAAATGTTGGCTTTTCCACTAATGTATGTTTACCCTATCTATAGGAAATCCCCTGTTGAAAACCGTCAAGTTTGGGGTTTCTCAATTTCACATTTTGAAAACTACGAAACTCAATTTTAGAACTGCCATTTTAAATTGAAAAGAACCTGTTTTATTATTATAGAACCGCCCATCTTGGAATATGAGACACCTTAGGGTGACCCCTCCACTGACGTTATTTCTATTCGTCATGTTTGTTCCGTTGATTTCCAAAGCAAGTGCACGTAGAGTACGATACGAACAAAGTACAGTAGATCTGTCCCATGGGTACTTACATGCGGGTTCAATGTCGGCTGCAGTGTACCTTTGAGAAACCGTACGTGTTATTACTCGTTAGCATGAAGATTAAAAATATTTCGAAGGCCATTGTCAGGGGATGTTTACGAAGCGGTTTACTCCTTTTCAAGCGGAGGAGTTTAACATTCATTGCAGAAGTGGAAAAAATAACGGACCATTCCAACCTGTGCCTAATATATACACTGGAGGCAAGCTACCTTAAAACACAATTTCAGCAGTATAGTTTTGGCTTTATAAATATTATTCAATCCAATGGATGTATAGCATCAGTTTGATACGTTGTCACAATGATATAGTTTAAAAACAGTTAAAGTCCTACAAAATAGAATATTTTTCCACCCTTGAACCACGATTTCTTGTTCATTAAACTTATTTTGACTAACTACGGTATCGACATCATGAAAGTATAATTCGCTGTAACAATTTCTTCAAGGAAAAGTTAAAAACTCCGAGAACATTAGAAGACATTGCAAATGAATTATCTCGTTCAAGCGGTTCACTAAATTCATCTATGGCGTCAGTGATATCAGATTCAAGTGAACCCAGTGAAAGTGGGCATTCATCTAATGGAGGTAAATTATGCTTAGCAAGAAGTGGATCTAGCTTGATCTTGTCGCATGATGGGGAAACGGACGCTTATCATGGAGTGTCAGCCTCGTACCCAGGCGCAAATAACGTACTAAAAAACAGCAACACTACAGTTTTTTTTATATAGATCAGTGGCTGAGCGAGCGCGCGGGGGTGCTTGGGGAGGACTTGGGAAGCGAGGCGCCTGGCAGAATTTGTAACAAACATGGCGGACATGCAAAGAAGGAAATTGCTGTACTATATAAATGAAATTGAAAGGCTTGCCTAACGAGCGGTACATTTGGGAAAGATTTTATGTCCAAATTATCACTGCGTTGATAATAAGGATTTTTCCTCGAAAACGGTATTTTAATTAAAGGTCTCCTCAGGAGACCAGCCTCTCGAAATTAGAAAGTCTGCTGGTCATGAGAGAACTCGAGATTATTGAACATTCTAAAAACGAAGTGACTATATGACCGGCAGCCGGTCACGGTTTATCAAATACTAAATGGCCGGCAGTCTAGTGACTATTGTTAAAGTTGAATTTTTATAATATAAACCTATCCCCAACCCCTTTTCTAACCCTAACCCCTAACCCTAACCTTTTGAGAGTTAGAAAAGTCGGAAAAAAAAAGTTTAAAAAATTTTAAGAAAAAACAATGCTAAGTCAGACAAAACAAATCCCGACCCCGACTGCGTTTAACTTTTCGCACGCAGCGCCCTTGCCGTATGAGCTAACGGCAAGCTCGGCAAAAGCTAACGCAAACAAAAGTTTTTATATTCAACAATAGTCACTAGACTGCCGGCCATTTAGTATTTGATAAACGGTGACCGGCTGCCGGTCATATAGTCACTTTGTTCTAAAAAAAATAACGATTTATTTCAATTGGTTGAAAATATATGTCTGGTGTTGGATGCACATCATGAAATATACTGCCTTTTTGCAGTTTGAAAGAGAAACTGACCAAGCAAAGTCAAAGACACTGTCTTATTCTTGAATCTTTTAATTTTAATATAAATATTTTAATAATACATTGAATTTATATGGAATGTTGAAATTACTATTTATTTGTACTGATGATACCTTTTACCTCAGAGGAGAAAATTTATAACTAGAAAATATTTTATTGTAGGTTTCTTAGTTTCTAAAATTTTACCAATAAAAATGCCTATATTAAACATGCATGACTGCTTTATAGTATGCAAAATATCAGTGAATATATGAACATTTAATAAATTTAATAATATAAAACCTGTTTTGGCCATTTAGCTATTGTTGTAACTGGGCTGACAGTAAGTTTAAAGGCTAAAGCACAAACTAACCCAGTGTTTTATACTTTGATGTGTATTTTGTTCTTCACCTTGCATTTGACCTATAAAGGCTATTGCCCTTGATTGCCAAAATCTACCATGTTTACACTAAGGAGTGGGGTAGACTCTGGACTTACCTGTGGCCACATATAATGCATTTGACACCTAGTTACAGGACAGTGTCTAAAAAACTGGACAATTGGGCTGATTTCAGATGCATGTTAATAATCAACGATATTTGAAAAATATGTGGCAAACATCATCTGATGGTCTCACTGAAAATATGTGTCAACATTAAATATACACACATTACATGATTTACCCTGTTGTCATGGAAATTGGTCTCGGGATTAAACAATCCAAACATGTATATACTACAGGGTTAGCCACCCCACATTCTTCACCTGAAACCATTTCAGGTCACTCAGGGTAGGTCCCAGTAAAGTGCTTGGACAACAACAAGACCTATCCCAGTTGTTTCTGTGCTTGTTCCTAAATCCTGTATATGGTCATTGGTTCAGCCAAGTTAGAACGGGCATATGTTTTACACAACTTGACTGAATGAGATATACCTCATCAACATGCTATGCAAACAACAACCCCTGTAACATTTAAAGTCTTGAGAATTTTATTTATTTTGCTCATAACATAAAGTACTAGTATTTACATTCAAAGGAATCTAGCTAGAACTAGCAATATTTATGCAAATTTAATACTCTTGTGGGTTTTATTTATAGACCCATGCACTCACCCACAGCTGAACTTCTCAACAAGCTAGGTACATTGGCACAAATTAACAGCTTAGCCCATCAAGTTCCACTGCACCCTACTGGGGCTATGGTGGCATGCTGATTGTGCCACCGACTTTGGTAGTGCAATTGTCAGAGCGAGGACTTTTTACATCTGAGATTGTTGGTTCAATTCTCACCACTTCAACGACACTTAAATGTGAAAAGAGTCATGCTGTCAACACTCTGACAAAAGTTGTGGGTTTTCTCCGGGAACTCCAGTTTTCTATAGAGGGAATGTTGACGGGTGGCTTGGGATTAGCCTCTAACTCACCCTCCAACTCACCCTCCATAAGGTGGCTGCCAGAGGCACCCTCAGAAAGTCTTTTACTCAATCAAATTGTGCTATGTTGAACTGTACCAGCTACAGAGAAAATATACTTTTCATGGGTTGCAAATATAATATTATATCTATATTCATATCACATGTAGTTGAAAATCTTTTGGAATTCAAGAACATCAGTGACAAATGTCAAACTGCACACAATACACTGAAAAACAAAAATATTCAAATCACTTCATGGCAAATTTAATATACATGTATCAAGCAGTAGTCATAGTAGTGACAGCACTACTGGGTTCTGTATCAATTCAGTGATTGTTTGCTGAAAATAAACTATTCAAGTATTTACAACTTTTAGAATTGTATAGTATATTAAATTAGTATAAAGACATTTGATCAGCAAATCTCTTTGGCTGGAACTCGACATGGGCTTTTGATTCTGGTGTTAAATTATTAAAGGTGCATCCCTGGTTGAAATTATTCTTTCTCCTTTTGTGGGCAGCTTACAAATTCTTTTAAAATATGAAACCTGTCCTATTTCTTGTAGTCATCTTGACCAAGATTTATACAATGATGCACACATAATATACAGAGAATAATGAAATCTCAAGGCAAACCAATACAAACACTCACCTCTAACACTCATTTCTTGATAATTCCTTCAGCGATTGTTCCAGGTCACCCATAAGCACATATAAATATAATATTCAGCACCAAAAACGCCAAAAATAATTGAAAAGGCACGAGTAAAAAGCTGAATGGTTCGATTCTTCAGATATCGTATTTCTGAAGAATCATATTTACATTTTCTGCCAGGCGCAGCAGAATCCTCAGTCTGCCTCAGTGAGCAGAATCCCGTCGTGTGTTGACCTAGCACCCCCGCGCGCTCGCTCTCTTAGCCACTGATCTATATAAAAACACTGTAGTGTTGCTAATTTTTATTACGTTATTTGCGCCTGGGTACGAGGCTGCTACTCTGTGACCGAACTATAAATAAACTGGAAGGCTAAAGCCCTGTTTAAACGGATCCAACATTGTTGGGCCAACATCATCCAACATTGTTGAAATAATGGCTCAAACGGCTTCTTTTTCAAATATTTTGTCAAGACTAGGTTTAGGGTTTGAGTAAAGCTTATCTAACCAAAAAGATTTGAAAGAGAAGCAGTCATATCTAGTATAGTAGCATTGTTGGATGATGTTGGTCCAACAATGTTGGATCCGTTTAAACAGGCCTTAACTGCTATGATGAAGGCCTATGATTTGATGAAGCCAAAATAGTTTTTCTGTCGGCCTATATATCAAATTGAAGCTATTGAAAATTGCTATTCGGTGTGGAAATTTCAAGACTTCAGCGAAAAGAAAAATCTTTAAAAAATACAAAAACAACTGCAAAACGGCAAATTATCGGTAATTATGTTTGTAGTTTTTCAATATTTCCCTTTTAGCTAAAGTCTTAAAATTTCTACACCAAATAGCGTTTTTCAATAGCTTCAATTTGATATATTGCCCAACGTTCAGTGTTGAATATTTCTGCTCATAACTCAGAAAAACTAAAATACACTGGCTTCAATTTCCCCCCCTGAGTTAGCCTTCCAGTTTATTTATAGTTCAATGCCCCAACCTCGTTCCCAGGCTATTTGCTCTTGGGAAGCAAAGACCCTGGTCGGAGCTGGTCACGTGACCCTTTGAAAATTGATAGCCCAAGAGGGGGGTGGAAAAGTCTCATATTACATGTTTCCACTTCCGCACTTCGATTGCAAGGAGTGGCCGTTCTGTACAATCATTCATCTTCAAGAATCATATATACAGGGCCGTCGCGAGCGGGGGGGTGTGGGGGGTGCTTCACCCCCCAATAATTTTCGCAAGTCGGCTCAGTCGGCAAATTGCTTCGTCACTGTTCGGCAAATCGCGAAATCGGCATTTAGCCAATTACAAAAGTGAAGAACGAAGGCGAGAGATAAAGCGATAAATTGTGGATTTAAAATGCCAAAATGTGGCCTTATGCCAAAACCACCATGGTCTGTCTAAGTATTACTAGTAATAGTATTTGTTTTTTATTTGTCGAAAATCGACGGGAGGCTGAAATGTGAAACCCATGTTTTCCGGCTAAAAAAACAACAGTTCCTAATCCTCAGGCATGTTCTTCGCTAGACTGCTCTTATAGCGAAGGCTTTATTGCTGCCGCAGCGAGCGAGCCTGAAGCGAGCAAGCAAGGCAGCAGATCCTAATTTTGTTTTGTGGGTCGAAATCAAAATTTTTTATTTGGCGCATGGCATGACGGTACCAGTGAATTTTAACCGTGGTGCAGCGCGGTCAGGCATAAGGCAAACAGGCAATGTGATCATGTTTCATCTTTGGTCTTCTTTTATGGAAACCCATAGCTGGCTTAAAGTGATCAAACGGCATTTTGTTGGGTGCTTTTAGCATTATACGCCGGTGCTTTTGGCGAGCGAGCCTGAAGCGAGCGAGCAAGGCAGCAGATCCTAATTTTGTTTTGTGGGTCGAAATCAAAATTTTCTATTTGGCGCATGGCATGACGGTACCAGTGAATTTTAACCGTGGTGCAGCGCGGTCAGGCATGAGGCAAACAGGCAATGTGATCATGTTTCATCTTTGGTCTTCTTTTATGGAAACCCATAGCTGGCTTAGAGTGATCAAACGGCATTTTGTTGGGTGCTTTTAGCATTATACGCCGGTGCTTTTGGCATTATACACGGTGCTTTCGCCATTATACAAGGTGCTTTCGCCATTATACGCGGTGGTTCCAGTATTATACGCGGTGCTTTCACCATTTATATACGCGATGCTTTTGCAATTATACGCAGTGGTTCGAGCACTATATGCCGTGCTTTTAATATTATACGCGATGCTAGCTTTCATTCAACATTATTTCCATATTCTTTCCATGACATGTATATGATTTAACGATTGCTTAAATTTGGTATGTGCATGGTTGACAAATGCTTTTTGCCTATGGTCTGCAAGGACAATGACATGCTTTTCTGTGTATATACATGTAAATGAATATAACGCAGCGAATGTGCCAAACAGTATAAACGCGGCTGAAATACGATATTAAAATCTTAAATGTGCCGTATGATTTAATTATGTTTTAGGATTTACAAATGCTTTGTCATTTGTATTTATACTTGTACTGCATCACAAGGCAGTACGTACCGTAAGTGAAAAAACTCCACATGTGAGATTGTCTTGTATATATTTTTGCTTTCTTTGATAAACACTATTAAACACGCAAATTTTAATTAGTGAGACGCAATGTTAAATGTCACCTGCATGTCACTGTCATTGCCCTTTAACCCCTGGTCTAATTGGCCGCTTTTGAAAATATTGATCATGACGAACCGCACTGCCTTAATTAAATGCAAACTTTGTGTTTTAGAAACGGGTTAGGATAAAACGCGGATACGGACGGATGAATGACGGACGGACCGGACGGATGACATATATATGTCGTTATATAATCTGCGCGCAGCCGCGCAGGGTAGTTAGTGTCTTACGTCTTTGCTGGTTGTTATACTTTAAAATAATTTTGTATGTACCGAGAAATCAATATTCCGAGTATATAAATATATAAACTGGGATGTCACTGATAGCTTGTTTACATTTCCTGGAGCATCATAAAATCTTATGTTTAACCACGGTGGTTTAACCCATTAGCTGGCAATGCCCCCTTCCCTTGTCGAGCACCAGAAGATTTTACTCGTCAGTGGTATAGGGTACTGCCAGTAAATGGGTTAACAAACCTATCTGCCAATGGCTCTTGTTAATTCATCAGCACAATAATGACCCCTACTTTAGTATTTACCCTGTCCAACGCCAGACGATTTTTAATACTCAGTCAGTGGTAGGGTACTGTCAATAAATGGGTTAACAAGGATAACAATAATTAGCCTGCATGGCAGGCGGTATTTCCCAGGCTTGTCCAATTTTATTAACCGCCTGCCATGCAGGCTAAACAAAGTTTCTGAAAGACTCGTTCAACACCCTGTAGTTTGTCTTTTGCTGTCAGAGGCAGCATTACTGCCCTGTGGGTAACCTAGTATCAATTATGCGCGGTTCAAAACACAAAAGAAAAAGGATAAAACTTCAGTGTCTTGAATGTAATTCGATTTTTACGACGATTACCGTAAGAGGCACGAGCAAACTTGCCATCAGGGAAAGAGAGTGCGAGTAGCACACAAAGATGCACCGGCTAATCCGTTTGAGGCTGCAAAGCGCGCTCAAAGCCAAAGAGAGTATTTTGACTCGTCAGAGGCGCAGGATCCTCAAGAAGACTCCAGACGCACAAGAGAAAAAGACCAAGAGAAAGACGAACCATGGGGTAAGAACGGATTTGTCTTCTTTTAGTTATTTAGCGAAATTACTGTTTTGAAGGACATACCGCTTACAGAGATCGGTATCATCGGTTGCATATCCGTTTTACTCGCTCTCTAACGCATAAAATTTAAACGTTTGGAAAATCGGGTCGTACAAAAGCCCAGTTAGCACTAGGCCACTAGCCACCACTAAGTAAGAGTGTTTTAAGACTGCTTAAAATACAAAAAAAAGTATATAAATTGTCCATTCGGCGCCTGGGGTTAGAAAAGGTCAAATTCATGAAATTGCTATGAAAAGATTGAAATAAAATATCAATGAATCACAGATATTCGGATAACTTTGCTGACTTTGCGGAGATGCGCGTCTGCACCACATGCTAAGACACTCGTGACTCAGACTATGTCCACGGTAACGTTTTCGAGCGTTTTTGGTTGTAATGCGTTTCTGAAAGTACCGTTTTGACGTTCTGTTTACACGAAAACGTATGAAAACGACGCCATGCATTAAGCAAAAACGTTTCAAATAGTGGAAACGATGCCAAAGGTTTGTTTCTATGTCTGAAATATTTTGAAATTGGTCGTTTCGGCACTTTGTTATAGTGTAAACAGGAAAGTGGCAGGCGAAAATGAAAAGCTGTGTTTAAATTTGGAAACAAATGATGCTTTGTCAGAAATTGTTGTGAGAAAAACGATCAATGTGAACAACGCGCGCCTCAACGCTCAAGTTGAAAACGCCATTGCAAAAACGTGTGCACATACAGTGTCTCAGTCTCATACATAGTCTCATGCATAGTCACATACAGAGTCACATACATAGTCTCAATCTCGATTTTGGACCTATTTAAATTTTGGACCTATATAAACTATGTTAAATTTAAATCTTTTTCAGCTTTATATGTTTAATATAAATAAATTAAAATAATACTCCTAAAAACAAATACACAAAAATAAAATACTGTTATTAGGACAGGTTCATATTGAGCTGTGGTTCCAGTTATTGTTCGCGTGCTTCGATTTCGTTACTTAATATATGTTTGTTCTTAGAATGTCATAATTTATATATAAAGAAACTTGCTTGCTTTGTAGCAACAACCCACGAACAGGCATCCATTTCAAAACAGGAGCCAAAGTTGTTAAACCCAAAGAAGAACCCTGCTCCAGAGATCCATGCGTCAACTAGCAATCTAACCATCGCAGATATCATCTCAGAAAGTGACATTTGTATCTCGGAAAATCACGATTCGACGGATTCGTGTTCCGCGTCAGAAATTACAGATTCTACCACATTTCCTGTTATTTCACATTCTCCTACCTTTCCTGAAACTACAGATTCTCTTTCCTGTCCCGAAGTTACAGATTCTCCTACCTTTCGTAAAGATTCTTTTAATTCTGAAAATGCAGATCTACAATCCGAAATCAGTCAGAAATCATATTGGAATGATTGGATCGAATCTGTTGCAACCTTGTCTTGCATTTCCAACTATGTTAATGAGTATCAAACACTGGTAAATGATGCAAGGAAGGCAGACATTCCCAATATAGAACAGTGGATCGAAGAAGCTAAGAACACTGTAACACTGATACAAGAAAACTGTGGAAGATTTGTTTAAAAATCCGACACCATTCTTCAAGATATCCAACGGATGAAGCTCAAAGTTAACGACTCTAATCCTGGTCAAGTTTCTGTGGAACATGATCCAGCTCTACGTAGTGAGGTCCGCGACGACAATCAACGAGAGTACTTGGTTGAACTTGGACCTTTTCAGCCGAGGTTACCTTGTTTCCCAACCAACCCAGATATACCTCAGGGGAAGCAGAATCGTTTTTCACCACGATGGTATGACGAGTATCCACATTTGGAATACAGCGTGGAGAAAGATGCTGTTTTCTGTTTCGTGTGCTCATTATTCGACGACACACCTTCAAAGGAGAAGGCAGACCCCAGCTGGAAAACTACAGGCGTTAGAAAATGGCATAAGATGAAAAGTGTTGGTAAGAGCAAGCAGGGAAAACTGGTCCAGCACTTCTCCTCCCAAAGTCATAAAGCTTCTCTCGGTGCATACTGTCACTTCCTGCAGAGGACAAAGCATATCGACATCCAACTGGATAAGGAAAAAAGGGCAGCGCAAATTCAAGAAGCCCAAGATTTGGAATATAACCGTCAAATCATTCTTATCCTCCTGGACATCGCAAAGACCCTTGCTCGCCAAGCTCTTCCATTCAGAGGCGACAGCAATGAAGACGGTAATTTTTATCAATTGGTCCTTTTGCTCAGCAGACATATACCAAACTTAAAACGGTGGCTAACTGACAAAAGGCTGAACCCGTACCACGTCACCTACTTCAGTCCTCAGTCGCAGAATGAGTTTATCATGTTGCTTGAAAAGGAACTGCGAGGAAAAGTAATAGAAGAAGTTAAATGTGCGGGTATGTTTTCCGTTATGGCAGATACTACTCCGGACGAAGAGCACACGGACAGACTCTCCGTTGTTCTATACGATATATCAGCGCCACTGGAAAGCCAACTGAAAGATTGCTGGATCTTTCGAAGACGGAGGACAAGACAGGTCTTGGACAAGCACAAGACATCCTGTCGACAATAAAGCGGTGTGGTTTGAATATCGATAGCCTGTGTTTTCAGTCATACGACTTCGCCGCCGCAATGTCTGGTGAATTCAATGGTGCCCAGAAGAATTTGTCCGAGCTTGTTGGACGCAATATTCCTTACATACCATGTCAAGCACACCGCTGCAACACCGTAATTGAGCATAGTTGTAACACAAGCGCCATTGTCCGGGAAATGTTTGAGATACTGCAGGCACTTTATGTATTCTTCACATCTAGTACGAAACGGTTCCAGCCACTGAAAGATGAAATTACCAAGGTCGAGAACTGCCTGATGCTCAGAAACCTGTCCAAAACCCGATGGAGTGCAAGGGCGGAGAGTATTCAAGCTGTCTGGACATCATTTGAAGTGATTCTGGATGTCTTATACGCGGTTACCAGCAAAGCAGATGCAAAAACCAACACGCAAGCACTTGGTTTAAGGAAAAAAATGCTTTCGCTTGACTTTGTTGTTGCACTGATGTTCATGAAAAACATTGCGTATAAAACGAAAAGACTGGTGGTGGAGCTGCAATCAGTTGAGCTCAATATTTTGGATGCAACAGGCCTTGTTGATGGAGCGCTAAGCATCATGCAAAAGTTACGAGATCACGACAAAATGATGGATGATCAAATTGAAGCATCCGTAATCTTCGCCAAAAACATCGAAATTGACGCAGAAGCAGATTCAACCGTCATCATCGCCCAAGGAGAGCACCTGGACGCGTGGATGAGCAAGCCGGAACAGCCACCAAGTTTTCACTTCGAGCCTACTACAGAAATCAATTTCGTGAGGTCCTTGATGTTCTAACATCCCGAATGAGAGAACACTTGGTGCAGTGTAAGAAGAGCATTTTGCCTTTGTTAAAGTGTTTGAAGCCACCAATCGATGTATCGTGCATTCATTCCGCTGTCTCATTATTTCCACCTGCACAATCACCTGACCCATTAGCTGTAGAAGCCGAATTACAAGTATTGGCAGAGTTATTAACTTCCGACGTTGGCAAAGACTATAACAAGGTGGTTGAAGTCAGCGAAGCCAACAAAATGTCCCTTCCATTGGCAAATTCGACAGTCATATTGATGCTTACGGCTCCTGTGACTGTGGCTTCAAACGAACGTTCATTTAGTCAATTGAAGTTTGTGAAGAACAAACTACGTACGTCAATGAACGACTCAAGGCTGACTGCTCTTATGCTTTTAACCTGCGAGAAAGACCTTACAGACACTCTTGACTTGGAAAAAGTTGCAAAAGAGTGGAGCCTGTTGAAGAAGAGACGAGTTCGTATACACTAAAACTTGCAAATGGCGAACGTATCTCGATCGAGTATCGATAAATATACTAATACGTTTGTAATATACTCTAAATGTACTGATCAAATACTCTAACAATTAAGAGTGGACTAATATACTTTTAGCTAAACAGTAATTTACAAGGAAAGTACGAACAGACGGAAGAGTGTTCTAGCTATATAATATATGATTTAGTTTCATTTGTATATCCACATATTTATTTTTGAGGGAACAGTATATTAATGAATAATTCCTGGTGTGTACAATACGGATAGTATATATCTGTACATTAAATAATGACTCATCAATGGTCGCGACATGCACACAATGTGGCATAAAGTTAACAAAATTTTTGAAAAACTCGGCAAATTCAACTAGCGTCACTCGGCAATTTGAACTTCGACACCCCAATCCATATCCCTTCGCGACGGCCTTGCATGCAGCTTATATTTTCCAAACATTGATTTAACATGAAGTATTAGTAATTGACTAACACTAAAAACAGTCTCGAGTTATGCATCAAGTGTGCCATAACAACACGTCATTGATATACTTAACAATTATACCATGAGCTCGAGTCGTATATGAGCTGATAGCCGACGAGGTGCGTAGCACCGAGTCGGCTATCAGCCATATACGACGAGAGCGAATAATCTAATATAGCCATTAACTGAAGCAGTAATTAATTATTCACTGTTACAATGTGTTGACAATTTGTTCGGCCAAAAACCGCTTGAAAATTTGTTTTACAACTCGAAGACGAAGTGAAAGAAATGGTTTTAGAACCTCTATATCTCACAGGAAAGCTCAGATATATTATACAGATGTTTGGTACTATAGTAAGTGCTTGTTGACTGCAAATTCATTTGTCGTTCATTGCAAACTTTTCTGAACAATTTATATTCTCAATGAACATGTTTTTTCGCTGTTGTTTCGGTATTAATTCTTTAAAAAACTTGTATTTAAACTAATTTCTACGTAATAAATGTATTTTGCTAACCTGTCAAATTTTTTTGAGAGTTTTTCTTTGTACTATTATCTTTCTCAAAGCGAATATTTTCCTTTTTTCTGCTTCGCAAACTCATGTAGTTTTTGGACCGCCATCTTGTTTTTCGCTACTCGCCGTATATGAGCTGATATATGGCGAGTAATTCAACCAATCAGATTGCAGAACAGCTCATATACGGTTGACTATATTATAATACATTATGTATGTATTTTAATTTGCATTGTGTGAAGTTTGATTTAATTTAAAAAAACTCCTGAGGAAAACACAAAGAAAAATCATAAGGGTGTCGTATCTTTGTATGTGATAGAGATGTCCCTTGATTTACATGAACTTTAACTTTGATTTTCTCGACTTACACAACGTATATTTTGAAAATTACTGCGCCCATGAACTTACTAGGATCGTCCGTTTTTAAAGAAATTTAAAACATTCACATTGCTTGTTTTATCAGAGCCAGTCATGCAGGCTTAAAGATACTCGATTGGCTTCGCCTCGTATCTTTGTATCTGATAAAACACTGCTACTCGTGTTTTAAATTTCGTGGCTACGTTAAATTTAATCTGAACTGTTTCTTAAAATGAATTGAAATATTCATTCACCTAAATTGCTTTTGCCGATTAACTGTTTTTTACTTAGAAAAACAAAATAAGACAACTTATCAAGTAATTTCAGTTCGGTGCTAAAATTTGTTATTAATTTTAATTAAATTATATATATACAGGGCAATTAAAGATTGAAAGCTAACTTGTCCTATATTAGACGATTTCCCATAGGAAATCAAATTATATTTGTTTTCGAAAATTGAAATCTTGCTCATCCAATTCTTTTTAAAGAGTCGTTATGATTTTAAAATCTGCGAGGAGGTCCACCCTTGACATCCATGCATGAATCATAGCCACGCGCATGCGATTATTCGGATGAACTTTAGACATCGTTAATGGTTCTTATTTCCGGGTGTAAATAAGCAAGCGGAATTAGTACCCTTTCGCCGAGCTTACGTCCAGAAAGGCGCTTCGTCTGTCGGGTCCAGGATCAAGAAAAATAAGTATTTCGATTAATTAAACCCCACCTTAAACATTAGATAATGGGCTTCTTTAGGACAGAATTGCACGCTAAATCACGTTCACTTAACTCGGCCATGAAAATGTCTCAAACATGTAAATTATTACTCATCGCCAGCCACTCTTGCGGGGAAAAGCTGTCACATCTATTTCGCTATCGTTTGAGAGGAAGTCAACTCATGGATTTAATTGAGCCCTCACGAATGAGGTTTAAACGTTCACTCATACTGATGTATAAGAATATAAATATCAAAATGCTTGATACAAATCTGCGGCGTGTACGTCGTATACGATTGTCCGATACAACCAAAATATAAACTTACTTGTATATATTTTCGGGAAGTCGCTGGCATGGGACCCATACAATGTCCTATTCGCACTTATCTCGCTGGAGTTATTTTGCCTATTTTCGTTCCATGTTATAGTCTTTCTAAGCTATATATAGCATAAGCTCCACCTTCGAATTTACTATATAAATAAATTGTTAAACACGTCCGAATTTATCAATAAGATAAATTCGCGGCATCTAACCCATATCACTATGTAACCCCTAACTCCAACCCTATACCCTAAACCCCAAACCTAACCCCTAACCCTAATCCAACTTTTTTAAACTTTTTTCTAAAATCTGGCTTTTTTTAACTTTTTTTACTTTTGTTAACTTTCTTTTATTTTTTTTTAACTTTCTTTGAAGATCTCACCACACCTGCGCTACCAGCCTCCCTTTTAGAGCCATTACATTTATAACAAAAACTCTTGTCTAATGCTTGTGGTTTTGTGATTTATTCAGTTGATAATTTCAAAATGTGCTGCGAATTTATCATATTGATAAATTCGGACGCGTTTATTAACAATTTACTCTCATATTGTAAATTCAAAGGTGGAGCTCATGTTGTAGAATTTAGATCAACTTGCTCTATTGAAGCTTATAGTATAGTAAGTACTTCATAAAAAAGTTGTAACAAACCTCGTCAAGAAATAATCGAACATCTTTCCACCAAGAAACCCTCCGACCTTTCCAGTGAATCCTCTTGTCTCTGTATTAGTTGGTAATGTAAACTCTGAAGCAACGTCCTGACGAGCGGATGTATATCTAGCATTATCCGCTGCTTTTGATTTTAACACAAGCCCTTGAGTGACTGATGTAGACATTTTCAAAAAGAAAATAATTATCAGACACAGGGACACAAAATTGAATTGTGCCATATTGATTAAAAGTTAGGTTCCGTCAAAAATTCCAAGGGATCAACTAGGTAAAGTTTAGTAAAGATGAAACTCCTCAACTCCAAGTAAGGATTGCATCTGAACTGAAAAATTTTAGGCCTTAGGGTCATAAGTGCTAAAAAGGTTTCGCAGGTTCTAACACCCAAATTGACAGCTAATTTCTTGTTGCATTTATCGCTTCATTCGTTTTGGGTTTGAATATTAAATGCGATAAAAACGAAGAAAAAATGTCAAGCATAAGATTTCTTACCTAAATATTGACTTTAGCACTTGTTCAATATTAAAAGACGGTAATGACCAGATCTTTAACGAATCCTTAACGGGTGCTGTCACATTAAAAAAATTTTCCTATTTCGCAACAGTAGAACGTCCTCATCATCATAACAACGCAAGAAACAAACTGATTGATCAATTCGATCGTGTATAATTTGAATGCCCGTTTACACTACAGTCATTTTGGGCACGGCACGCTTAAATTTTGACACGGGTACAAAATCCACTATATAGTCATCTTTACTGTTGATAAATAGTGTCATACCACAAGATGATATGGCACTCTTCATGCAGATAAATTGACCTAATGACTAGACACTAAAACTTGCAAGGTAAATATATGTACAAGTCGATGAGATTTTGAAAAATTAATCCTATTTACAAAGCACGCGATTTAATTAACATGCAAGTTATGTCATAAGCTGACAAGACGCGGAGAGATTAACACACTGCGGTATATTTAAATGTCTACCTTTTAAAATAATGCTACTTAATTAGGATTTTTTTGCTATGCCTATAAACACAAATTAATTACATCGTTTTGAGGCACAGTCATAAGGCTTAGCTCGTTTCTATAGTTTCCAATTAATTATATAATCGATGCTTTTGATTTTTTCAATTCCAGCAAAACATGTTAATTAAATCGCGTGTTAATTAATCTGCATAACATGTTAATTCACAACATGTTAATTTAATCTACATAACATGTTAATTAAATCTAAATTAGAAGGCCCTGGCATTGGCTTGAATTTTACACCCCAAATTTTGGGGTGTAATAAATTAAGACCACTTAATGTCAATGCGCGAAATTAATTTGTTCTTCAAAATTTCCTATGTTTGCTGCTCCAAGACAAGGTAAATTTTATATATTTTTAATCCTCGAGAAATGCAGGTAAAGCTATCGGAAAATGTTTGAATCAAGTTTATACGATCAGAAATTTAGAAGTTAGAAGTCAATTTGGCAGCCGCTTCACTAAAATTTAATTGTTTACAACATGACAACAAGATTACAAATCTTATGTAAGCTCATCCAATTTTTGTTGTAGAGACTTCGTTTACCTATCTTTTGAAAGAAAATCTTCTAAGAATTTCATATATAATGTGTCTCGTGTTAAGATAGAAAATAAATTTTAAATGTGTCGGAAACGATACGGATTAGGAGGTGATGACGTAGTTGATATATCACATGATTCTTTTAGATGCTATAATATTAGTGATTTGGGGTTGGGATTAATAATAAGTTTGTACTTGTCGGAGTAAAAAAACTATTGGGAGTAAAGAACTATCTTAAAATCGTACAAGTTTGTGACTCGTGATTTGTGACTTTGGGAAAGGGCGGAGTTCAACAACGTGTTCCCCACATTATTGGCACCTCCGACTGGATAAGTCAAGTCAACTGTGAAACTGTCAGTATATGTTCCAATTGTTTTCTGCATGAAAAGCCTTGCGTGACCATTCGAGACTGTGAAAAACCGCGACTGAAATCATGTCCATGAAAAAGCAACTCACAGAGATAGACTCTAAGCTAAAAACTTTACATCAGCCCCCCCCCCCCCCCATATAGCGTCCAAACGGATGCCGCCAATGACGTCATACAATCAATGACATCATAACAGGAAATACTCGCTTAAATTATGAAGTATGCACGTTCAACTATTCCCGCATAAATTATTGGGGATGCACGTTCAACTGTGTGTATCCGGTTTATTTTAAAATGCTTTTTTCCCAACAACATATGCGTTCTTCAAGGTGGAATAATGTTGACGAAGTTTCCCCTGTGGAATTTCGAAAGCTGTGTGACTTGTTAGAAACAATATTTGCACAAACTGGTTCTTGCGAGGTTTACGAGCTTTTCGAAGAGAGGTGCTGTGGTTGTAAACTAAATCGTTTTAGTCAGAATGAGTGTCTTATGTTATCCGCAGTTATCGTATGAGGAGAGATCGCAGATGTATGATTTTAAAGTCATAGAGCGAGTTAGCAAAAAATACATTGTATGAATAAGCTGTTGAGGTGAACAGAGTTTTAGAGCTTCAGTGGGATGAATACGTATTTGAATATTGGAATCAATTGAGGAGGGACCCCAACCTCGTACCCAGGGTTTTATCTCCGCTCACCTCCCGCTGCGAAAAAACCCTGGTCCAGGCTGCTCACGTGCTTCCCAAAATATGGGAAGTGACAATTACTTTACTTGAGGGAGGGGTGGTTTATGTTGAAATTGTAATCCCGCAAGGAAATATTGCAGATGTATTGTATTTCATCGTGTGAGGTCTTAAACAATAATCGAAATCAGATACAATAGTTCATAAAAAAGCCAACGATACAGTTTTGGGATAGTGGTTACCCTGTTATGGCCAAAAATACGCCAACGAAAGTATACGGAGCGCATAATTTGGAAAGCAGCAGTTGTTGTCGGCTGTGTAAATCAGTCGGTGATCCCGCACATCGATATAAACTATTTAACAAAACTAACAGCGAGATCCTTGCCATCGCTGAGCATATTTATGGCCATCCACTTCCGAAAGAAGCAGGACTGCCGCAACTTATTTGCAGGCCATGTGAAAGACGCCTTCGTAGTTTCCGCGCGTTTAAGAATACAATTGTTCAAACGCAATCAACTTTGACCAAGTTCAAACGGTGTAACAAAGATTCGCCTGGCGTGTCACGTGTATCGAAAAGTTTAAAATCGGCACAAGAACCTCCGCAAAAACAATCCCAAAGAGCAAGACAACGCCTCTGTTTTATGCAATCTTCGCATGGGAAAGAGGTAAGTTTTATTGCATTCACGTAACAAACACAAAAATGCCAGTCGACATGTACAAACAATGCGAAATGTACATATTGTGCTTTTTAATTGTTGCAATTTATTTTAAGTTTTAAATTATAACGTATTTATTATAATGCAGATACGGTTACTTTAGTCGTTTTAGTATATTATAAACATACAGTGTGTATAAAAAAACTCTTACAGTAAGCCATTGAAATTTAAATCAAGCATAAACGCCGTATTCTATTGAATTCATCTGACAAGCTATACAGTATAATTATCGTTAATTTGAATTTTACTAATTTGAAAGAATGTATTTTTTTATATACACACTGCAGAGCAATGTACATTTTGATTTTTTGTTCAAAATTCTGTGCATATTTGTATCGAGAATCATTTTGATCTTTTTCTAAATTGTTTTTGAAATATTTTGTGTGCCATGAATAAAGGATATGACATACCAGAATATAATTTACAATCTCTATAAAGTTTAATACGGTTGTAAACAAATGTAATTTATTAGTAAATTGTCTGATTTTGCCAAAATATTCGTTCTTTCAGAATGCAAGTGAGTCACAAAGTACGGGTAGGACATTAATCACGTCTCCAGCTGACAATTGCCAGGTTCGTATGTGTATTAAATACTAAATTGTCAATTTAGTTTTACTTTTAGGATTTTTATTTCAGTCTGACAGTACAACCAACGTGCATTACAAACTTACACAAAAAATCATTCACTTCTATTTTCATTAGGAAACTGTCAATGTGTCAAACGTGGAAACGGAACGTCAAATCCAAATGGAAAATTTGCTTTCACTGATTGAAAAAGAATTGTTGGACGTCGTAAAAAGGGAAAATAAATCAGTCCTAAGAGAGAAAGATTACCCTGCTTTGAGTTCGCTTAATTTTCATGACATTGTAGAAAAGATGAAAAATCGTTGTCCAACTGTGTTTCAGATCTTATCCAACATGGTTCAATACCAATTTAACAGAGAGAAGAATATTGTCTCTCTGGGGCTTATATATATTCAGTTATTATGTTCCGCAGATGTCACGAGTTGAGTCGTGTACAGAGAGTTAACACCGTACTTCTAACAGAAGGAAATGCTAATAGAGAGGTAAGCTGTTATAATCGTACAATTGTTACAAAACTAATGAGCGGTAATTTAATTAATTGATACTAAGGGTATACGAACCAGGAAGTATATAATTTCTCATTCAGTAATTATAATAGAAAGATAATATGTACCAAAAAATCGAAACCTACATTTACTGATTTACATAATTATATTTTTTTTATATAATTTTTAATTATAATGCTTAATACCGGGCGTTTGCATAAATATATAATGGATAACATAAACAGGTCTAGGATTGCAATAAGAATTACTTGAGATTAGAATATGTTTGGGCGTTGTTTTGTCTACGTGCACTGAGGTATATTTAAACGTTGCAATGCCGGTAATATATAATATAAATCTCGACTAATTTCCAAGAATATGCAGGTTTTTGCAATTCCTGGTACTCAGATTTCAAAATTTTCCTGGGCATGAATGGCCCCTAACACACTTTGGCACATATTTGCCCTGTGTCCCATTTGTCTCTTGGCAGCCCTGCTAACATGAATGGCTTCACATCATAGTATCATGCTGCTTGTTAATATGATGTATTAACCTTTAATAGCTTCAAGAGAGACTCAGCAAGGCCATTGATAATGACAAGGCCATTGATAATGCGAGCAGAGCTGTAGGCGGAGCAAGGAAGATTGCAGAAAACTTTGATTACATGGTTTACCGAGAAGCAAAGTCATCATCACACAGTCATGCATCATCTTTAAAAGACGAATCAAAAGTTTTAAGTGACCTTCGCATTTTGAAACCATTCTCCATTCAACCGAATAGAAAGCATGCATCATTTCGTAAAATTAAATCAAATCCTTTGGAAACCCTTGATGAAAAGGAAGTAGATGAATGGCTTCAGAGACATAAGGAAAATCTGATGTTAGAGTCTCCAATTGAATTGGATGAAGATGAAATGGATGAAGATGACATGGCTGAAGGGGAATTTTATGAACATGAATTTGACGAAGATGACTTATAAACATTACAGACTAATGTAATGTCTCATCAAAGCTAAATCAAATGTTGAATACTGGTATTAACTCATTAAGTTGCAATGTACTCAAATGTGAATTACTTTTATTTCATTCTGTCTAATGCCAGATGATTTTACTCAAGAGGAGAGTCTTGCACGTTAAATTAATAGGTTAACATATTAACCCATTGTGTCAAGCAGCACTCTCCCCTAGACGAGTAGAATCGTCTAGTGTTAGACAAAGTAAAATACTATGGCATTGGACAGAGTATTAGTAAACTACTAAAGTAGGGCATGCGAGGGTTGACAGCATGCATGGGCAGATAGTCTGATTAACCCATTGAGTGGCAAACCCTATCCCCTTGATGAGTAAAATTATCTGGCATTAGACAAAGTAAAATACTAAAGTAGGGCATGTGAGGGTGCATTGCCACTTAAAGGGTTAATGCCTAAATTGGCTAGAATTATATTTACTACAATATTTACTCTGTTTAGCACCAAACTACCAAAGACGTTATCTACCTAATATCAAATGAACAAAGAAAGACAAATTCTAAACTACAGTATATGCATTCATAGGTTTTGCCATCTGCCCATTTCTACAGTATCATTACAGTAAGTTAGTCAAATAGAGTTAGCATGCATATTCTACTTTGGAATATCTGAAAAAATATTGGATATTCAGGATAACAATTTGACATGACAAAAACATATTTTTAATCTTATAATGACCATTGGTGTTCAGATATGGGCAAAGTCTGTATTGTGGAAACATGGCTAGTGCTACAGTTATATATTGTTCATATCAATGGCCCAAAATGCTAGTATGTGACCACAGTAGAACCAATTTCCAGTTTTATTCCCATTTAGCAGACAGGTGGAAAATATGCATTGTTATTGATAAGGATTTGAGTTTAGTTGGTAAGATGCCTATTAATGTTTTGTATAGACCACACAATGGGTCATTCTAGAAAAGATTCACACTCCCACCAAGGAGGAAATTTCTCCTGTCCAGAGGGAGAGGGGGGAAAATTGTTTCTGATAATAGTAAGTGTATTAGGAGATCTAAAGGGGATAGAAATATGGGGCCTGAGGTACAGTATGGATGTTTTCTGGAATGACCTAATAAATAGGGCACAATTAAATTTATTATTTTTCATCTGGTAAAGAAATGGTTTGTTTGCTTACTTTGATAGACAGTAGCATCCTAGTAATTGTTCCTTTGATTGTTTTGCTAGACGTGACTTCTAATTATACGGTGCATTTGTTATGTTGTACATTCTGAACATTTACACTGCATTTTACAATAACTACAACAAACATGAGGGTTGTCTTTCATGACATCATGAACGTCAAGACATCCCAACAAAAACATCCTAAGGCAGCTGTCCTCAAGTTTGCAGTATTCACGAATACTGTCACTAATTCCAGGCCGGCTCATTGCAATATCACGCTTGTTGTAGTATAAGACAGCTGTTGATTGTTTCCTATCACGACCTGCTCGCCCGGTCTCCTGAAAATATTCTCTAATTGTAGGTGGTGGCCCAACATGAATAACATGTCTTATACATGGTATATCAATGCCCATTCCCAATGCAACAGTTGCAAATACAACTCTCAATTTTGACAATGGTGAAGAGAGTTCAGTGAGAATCTGATTCTTCATAGCATTTGTCTGGGGTGAATGAAATTGGGCAAACAGCCTATTTTCGGGTATTGCTTCAGCATCAAGAGGATAGTACTGTTCCTTGCCCAAATGTTTAGCAAGATACTTGAAGGCATAGCCACACCATTTTAGTGGCAGGTACAAAATGGTCAAAGGGTAATCCAATTTCTTTTTAAGTAAAACAGTTGCAATGTTGTGTAGAAGTTCCTGAAAAAATTCAAGGTCATTGCCCTTTCGGATGATCTTTTCATAAAATATATTTGGCCTGTCGGGATTAGCTGTGATTTCCACTGGCTTTTTCAAATTTAAAGATTCCTTAATTAATATAACATCTGCCTTGCTTGCTGTAGCAGTGAGGGCAACAACAGGAACGGTAGGAAACGTAGCACACAACATTGCCAAATTTGAATAATCTTTCCTGAAGTCAAGTCCCCTGCAAAACAATATTAAAGACAAATAATTAATATTTTTACAAGTTGACGTCAATGCGTTATTAAAAATGTTGTATAATTTCTATAAAACATTCTTACTATACATTTACTAACTTACCATTCTAAAATACAGTGAGCTTCATCTACAATAATTGATTGAACGGATTCCTGATAAGGCTTGCTCTGTAATAATTCCATTCCTTCCTTACAAGACAGCAATGCCTCGGGATGCATGTAAATAATGTCGTACTTTGCATCTTTGAGCA